GTGACGAAATTTCCTTTATACAGATAAAAAAACAAAACAAAAACAAAAGAAAAGACAAGGAAAAGAAAAAAAAGTTCTGGCCGGCCAGTTCTGCATTATAGTAATCACCCTTAGTTACATAGTTTTTGGTATGAGCTCCCACTTTTAGTTGACCAATTTTGTGAGAGATGATCACTCCAAACCTTCTTCCAGTGCCTTCACTCAGAAATGATAACTGTAATAATAAAATCTTGCAATACTTTATTTAGAACCTTACTTTGTCCTGATATCAGGGGTGTTCCTCTCTTAAACATACAAACCACACGAATGCTCGAAGTGGGATTTATCTTATCGTCAAGAACCCCATCACCCTTCCCGAGGTTTCTTAGCAAAACTTCTGCGAAATACACCTGAGTACGGTATCGTTTTCCCCTGGAGAAAGTAATTAATCAATTCTTTTTGTAACTGCGTTATTAATTGAATTTCTACTCCCTTATTTTCTAAATAACCTTTAATTCATAAAACTCAGGACAAATGATTACCTCATGAGTTTTTAAATTACTTGACGATAAACGAGCAATCTTACACTGAAACGGGAGACGCAACGGACAGATAGGGGGTGAAGAAAAAAGGATTAAGTCTAAAGGAATTGCAAGGATAAAGGGCAACTTAAAACTAACCAGGAAACTATATTCCCACATTTCTGATGACAGATCAAATAATGAACTGCATTTCGTTTTTGCTAGTTCTAAGAATATCTTGTTGACAATATCCCAAACGTTGCTTTTCAATACCATGCAATGATACTCTTGTTGCTGATAGTTAAATATATAGCTTGACTGTTTTCTAGCCACCTATAGAGCCACTTAAGAGAAGGCCGTCAAACCCGTAACACCCTATTTCTTAAATAAAACTTTCTACGGTTCAGGGTATCAAAAACCCTCTTTGCCTTTATAAATAAGAAGCCATTAATCATATCGTAATATATCAATATTGAAACCCTAATCAGTTGTCATGAGGGTGAAAGTGCAAAAACGTGCTTAACTCAGAGTATGTGCGGGTGAACAAACTTAAACGAGACTGACCTGAGTTAAGTGGGCCTAAACGTAAGAAAACAAGGTTAACTTCACGTATATGTCGGTCAACCAGAAAACACGAACTTAAAATGGGGTAGATTAGGGTAAATGTGATTAAAACGTGACTAACTCAGGGTAGATGGGAGATTATGAGGTAGAACGTGCTTTCCTGAGAGAAGATGAGGGCGAACGTAGTAGAACGTGGGCTAACGTGGTAGAACATGGCTGACCTAGAGTACATGGGGGTTAACGTGGTAGAACATAGCTAACTTAGGGTAGATGGGGGTGAACTTGGTAGAATATGGGCTAACGTGGTAGAACATGGCTGACTTAGGGTAGATGGGGGTTAACGTGGTACAACATGGTTAACTAAGGGTAGATGTGGGTTAACGTGGTACAACGTGGTTAACTTAGGATAGATTAGGGTTAACGTGGTACAACGTGGTTAACTAAGGATAGATGTGTGTTATCGTGGTTAACTTAGGATAGATAAGGGTTAACATGGTACACCGTGGTTAATTAAGGGTAGATGGGGGTTAACATGGTACAACTTGGCTTACTTGGGGTAGATGTGGGTTAACGTGGTACAACGTGGTTAACTTGGGTTAATGTAAGTTAACGTCGCACAACTTGGTTAAATTAGGGTAGATGTAGGTTAACGTGGTACAACGTGGTTAACTTAGGGTAGATAAGGGTTAACGTGGTACAACGTGGCTAACTAAGGGTAGATGTGTGTTATCCTGGTTAACTTAGGATAGATAAGGGTTAACATGGTACACCGTGGTTAATTAAGGGTAGAGGTGAGTTAACGTGGTACAACGTGGTTAACTAAGGGTAGATGTGGGTTAACGTGGTACAACATGGTTAATTAAGGGTAGATGTGGGTTAACGTGGTTAACTTAGGAGAGATAAGGATTAACGTGGTACAACGTGTTTAACTAAGGGTGGATGGGGGTTAACGTGGTAGAACTTGGCTTACTTGGGGTAGATGTGGGTTAACGTGGTACAACGTGGTTAACTAAGGGTAGATATTGGTTAACGTGGTAGAACATGGTTAACTTGGGGTAGGTGTAAGTTAACGTTGTACAACTTGGTTAAATTAGGGTAGATAGGGGTTAACGTGATAGTACATGGTTAACTAAGGGTAGACATGGATCAACGTGGTAGAACATGGCTAACTGAGTAGATGTGGGTTAGCGTGGTACAACATGGCTAACTAAGGGTAGATGTGGGTAAATGTGGTAGAACATGGCTAACTTAGGGTAGATGTTGGCTAACGTGGTAGAACATGGTTAACTTAAGGTAAATGTGGGTTAACGTGGTAGAATATGGTTAACTTAGGGTAAATGTGGGTTAACGTGGTAGAACATGGCTAACTTAGGGAAGATGTGAGTTAACGTGGTAGAACATGGTTAACATGGGGTAGATGTGGGTGAACGTGGTAGAATATGGTTAACTTAGGGTAAATGTGGGTTAACGTGGTAGAACATGGTTAACTTAGGGTAGATGCAGGTCAACGTAGTAGACATGGTTAACTTAGGATAGATGTGGGTTAACGAGGCAGAACATGGCTGACTTAGGGTAGATGTGGGTTAACGTGGTACAACATGGTTAACATGGGATAGATGTGAGTCAACGTGGTAGAACATGGCTAACTGAGGGTAGATGTAGGTTAACGTGGTAGGACATGGTTAACTTATGGTAGATGTGGGTTAACGAGGTAGGACATGGCTAACGTAGCGTAGATGTGGGTTAACGTGGTACAACTTGGTTAACTTAGGGTAGATGTGGGTTAACGAGGTAGAGCATGGCCAACGTAGGGTAGATGTGGGTTAACGTCGTACAACTTGGTTAACTAAGGGTAGATGTGGGCTAACGTGGTAGAACATGGCTAACTTAGGGTAGATGTGGGTTAACGTGGTAGAACATGGCTAACTTAGGGTAGATGTGGGTTAACGTGGAAGAATAAAGCTAACTAGGACATATTATAAGTTTTACATGAAGCTTATAGCATACATTCTCAGCCATTTTGTCGTTCAGCCATGGCGTATATACCCTAAATTTAATTGTAGAAGCACTTTAAATTTCAAAGTGGTTCTGTTTGAATGTGGCATACACGACATTCTCAGTGGAATTCATTTATGGCGGATGACGTCTGATTCATCTGATTTTTATCTTTCATAATTTGTTATATTCCGTTAAACCTCCAGTGAAGATCTTTGTAACGAAAGCGGAGAATAAAATGGCTTTCAATAAATTTAACATTCCAGCTTCAGGGCAGATGATTCCATCGCAAAATCAAGGTAAGCAAGGCTTTCTCTTTTTGGGGATCCTGAGCAGGTGCTGATGTATCGAGACCTAACTCAGTCTTGGCGAAACGTTGTTACCTAAGTTCATTTTCCAACCTTGCATTAAGTTTTTTGTAGTAATACTCGCCCTCAATGTTTACATATAGGCGATACATTCTAAGACCCAACTTATAGACCATTCCAAATTTCTCTCTCCCTTCTACGTCGATGCCCTGTCGTCTCACAGAAAAATGAAGTGCAATAACATGACAATGATAATCCAAGGTAGTCGATGCGGCAAGGTAACTTTTTGATTTAACTTGAAAAAGACCCTGTATACTGTGATGCATGGTCATGCAAACGGTGAGGTTGGTGCTGTGCGCCTGTATTGTTTGACTAAAGAGAGAGCACAAAAGATATATTCGGTGTCTTCCTTATTTTAAGCATAACAGGTAAAGTAAATTTTCAAACCGGTAAAGGAATCCTTCTACCTGTTGAATTTTTAAGAATTCCAAGCAATTTCAAACGGTAGTAAAGAGGTAGTACTGGCGGTAAATTTTACTGGTTACTGTCTGAAAAGGAGAACGCTGTATATTGACACAAATTAATGTCGCTAGTCAGAGCTTTATGTTACCATCTAATCTCGCCATTGTCTTTCAAGGTAACTTCAGTCAAATACCAGCATCATTTCAACAGATGGGAGGTTTTCAACTCGGACAACCATATGGTGTTCAGAGTTTTGGTCCTCATCAAGGCCAGGTGAGATATCATAATTGTAAATATTTTAATACCTCCCCATTAAATTTATATTTGGTATTAGAAAAAACCCAGGATTGAGAATATTAAATTGTTTAAAAATCTAGACAAATTTTGTTCATTGAGTTTGAACTTGTATTTATCTAGAGGCACACCTCTTGTATGTTTTATGAACAGAGTTCTTTAGATGGCTTTGCCTTCAACACCTGCTGTTGAAGGATAGGATTTCGTGTACTTTAAGTCGATGTGCTTGATGTACACTCTGTATCCGTCAGTCTTCCAGTTGATAAGCTTACTTTTTTTCCAATCAGTATACCAGTTTTAAAGTAATTGATATTAGTTGATAGTGGCTTGTTGAGTATCAATAGTTGGTCACTTGTCATCCATTAGTCAGCCACTAGTCAGTAAATTGTCCACAACCATTGATGGTTGGCCAACATCTAAATTGTTTGTCAATATCATGACCAAGACACAAGCTAGCCATCAGTGGTGTGACTTGGTTTACCAGTGGCTGACCATTAATGATTTTTAGCTGACCATCAGCCAATCATCATCGGCTCTTATCAACTAAACTTTTGATCATCTACCTGTCAATAAATGCTTTACTTATACTATCTGTGATATCAAGGATGTAAAGTTTGATGTGACCAAGAGATTTTATGTGTTGTTCTCAATTGTTTTTAGAGGTTTGCTGGTCCTCTTCCTGGATATCAGACAGGGTTACCCATGGGATCTCAAATGAGTCAACAAATGGGTCCTCAAATGAACTCACATGTGAGGTCTCAAACGGAACCTCAAATGGTAAATGTACCTCAGAATGGTCTTCAAATTGGAGGATTTCCATCAAATGTGCAGCTGGGTCACCAGTTTCCAAAGCAGCAACAAATGAGGATGGATCAGCAAAGAAAACAAGCTGAAGAAAATGCTAAGAAACAAGAGGAGCTAATCAAGAAAAAGCAATTTGAGGCTCAACAACGCAAACGTCAGCAGTCTTTCACTGCCAAAAAATTGTCAAACCCAGATGCTTTAAACAGCTTGTTTGGTAAAAACAAAAATAGTGGAAATTCGTCAATTGCTGATTTAATTGGGCCCCTTGGCAAGGAGTCAGAATCCAAGTTACAAGCAAAAAAAGCATCCAGCATATGTAAGTATTGTTATGCTTTTAAAACTCATTTCTAGTGAAACAATATCAAAGATTTAATTTGTTATAACTGTGCCATATACTATCCATGTTAATAGTTTCCCGGCCTGGTGGCAGTGCCACAAGTCAGTCTTCAAATCCCACTCAAGGCCAGTGGGGTTCAGGATTTATGACTTCAGGACATTTGAATCCCCAAGAGGGTCTGGTAAGCGAAGTGACATCTAATAAGCAACCTGATGACATGGATGACTTTGGGGACTTTTCACAAGGACCATCTTTTCCAGCCCAAAGTGGTGGTGGTGGTGATGCAGATTTCAGTGACTTTCAGGGAGCAGCTCAAGTAATGGCACAGGGTGGAGGTTTGTTATTTATTACTGTTTGGATTTTTTATTTTATTTTATTCACTTCAATTTTTTTTTTTACTTTTTTCTCATATATCATTGTTAAATTTCTTGTTAACTCTTTAATTCCCAAGATCTGATTAATTCTCCCCTCTAGCCGCTACACATTTCCTCATAAATAAGTTACAAGAATGTGGTGTTAGATCAAGATAACAATTTCTACCTGATGAGTTTGTATATTCTCATAACCTGTTTGCTGGATAGTGTTTAGATATTATAGGAAGAAGTTACATGTTAATCTCTTCTGGGAGTTAAAGGGTTAAATAACTTTATGTCTTGTAAATAGAATAAGAAAGGTGGTAGGTTTTTTTGATGTGAACTTTGTAATGGGCCTTGCTTGCCACAGAGTATGGCTCAGTGGTGGAGCATCAGAGCACGGAATCCAAAGGTCTGAAGTTTGATCCTTGTCCCAATTTTTTTTGTCCCATGCTTGTGACAAGACTTTAAAAAAAAAACTCTGTCTCTAACTTTATTTTGTATCTACCTTTATTTAAAAGTGTGAGGTCAAGGATTTGATTGTTCTTTATTATGTTGCGGTAAAAAAGTTTTACTGATGAAATTTATTTTATTTGTGACATGATACATAACATTAGTATTTCCTTCTTAAAAGGGAAGCATGCTCCAGAAACTATACAATGTATAATTGGATAACTGTTAGCATTTTTGGACTCTAATGAGAAACCTTATCTTTCAATATGGTCTTAAAATGTTTTAGAAATTCAACTAGGGTTGCTTCCTTTTTTAATTGCTCAGCGACCTGTTCACTTTTCTGTGTCCCGGCAAAGTCTCACCTCTCTTCTCTCAATCCTGTTTCCTCTGAAAAACATGAATTTGTAATCCCAGACAAGGCTCACAACTAGAATTAATAACCTTGTTTCCAACTCACTAAACCTACAGGTAGTTCCTTTCATGCTATGGGTTCAGGTGCACCAGCCTCTCCTAATGTTGGTGGCAACATGAATGTGTTTTCTCAAAGTCAGTTATTCCATGGTACTATTGGAGAACCATCCAGGAACATTTTTGCCACCAGTTCTGCAAATCAAATTCAGCACAACAGTTTTCCACCTACACAAAATATGTCAGCAACTTTATCTTTGCATGGAGTGCAAACAACAGGTGTCTGTGCTCCAACTGCAACCTCATGGGTTGGACCTTCTGATGTTGCTCAAGGGAGCCAGGTGCCTCTTTTTGTGGGAGATTCCAGTCACAGAAGCAGAAGCATACACAGTGTATCTACCCAAGGAGGTCATATAACCCAGCTTGTGGGGACTAGTGCATCAGAGATGGTTTCCAATGTTGCCAAGAATACACCAAGTGGAGGAACAATGCCACTAACAGACACACATCATAAGCAAATTGGCATTGGAAATCAGCAAGGCACAACCTTCCCAATAAGCAAATTAGCCCCAGATAATGTTTATCCATCACCTACTATTGGCCATTATGGAGGTGAAACTGGTGGAGAGTCTAACTTGCAACAACATTCAACAGAATCTACCCAGGAAACAGGTCAGAATGTAAGCTCTCTTACAGAGCTAAAAATATGATGCTATTATCCTAGAATAATGAAATTCTATTATCAGGGTGTAGTCCCAACACAATTTTGTCATTCATGAAGGGTAACCATAGAACTGAGGAAATGATATGGACCTGAAAGAGAATGTTGTCACTGACAATTTTGGAAAGTAGCCTCATATTAGAAAATGATGTATTGTTCAGTAATATTTTCAAACATAATTCTCTAAAAGTAAGGTATTCAACATTTTCAATCAAGCCACAAAGTTCAGACAAACTTAGTAGATCATTAGCACTATTATGACTAGGGAGGTCTTGAAACTTAAAAAAAATGCTGTTTAAAGTATTTTCAAGTGATGTTTTATTTTTATGTATCTTTCAGATACTGAAGCTGAAGACACAACTGAAAGGAAACTAGAGCTGTTGTATGGTGTAAGTCTTCCTGAGTGGTGTGTTCATGGTACAGACCTTCCAGGAATTTATAAAGAGATAGCAGAGAGAACAAGCAATCCATGTGATGATCTTATTGACACTAGTGGTTTGTTTCCCATCCTCATGGCTTCTGATCTTCCTCGTGACCAGCTTGGTCATATTTGGAACCAAGCTAATAGAGCAGTTCCAGGTCAGCTTAACATGTTGGAACTGAGAATTGTGTTAGGATTGGTTGCTCTGGGTCAGGTAGATGTTCATTTATTTTCAGTGTCATTACATAATTAACTCTTTGTTCTCCTACATATGTATTAGATACATGTGGATTGGCATAGATAGTTTACAGATATTTGAAATTTGCTATATATCTGTCAAATATTTGCAAACATCTTTGCAGATATTCTGCAGGTATGAATTAAAAACCATATTACAGAGAATATGCAGTACTGCAACAGATATGTGACAGATAGGTTTATTTGTAGCTGTCTGTTTGGCATAGTAAAATCATTCAGAGGGGTAAGGGTGTGACTAAATTATGTCAAAGTTTCAACTGTTTTACAAATTGAAATAAGTTTATAAGTTTTATCCAATGGGATTTATTCTCTATTTACTTTGTTTGATTGGGTATGAGCAGATTGTCAGGAAAACCTTTCATAAGTGTGGTTAGGTTTTATCAGCTATCATTGTCTTTTAGATGTTAAATGGTTGTGCAACAGTCATGTGTGGCCCTAGAGTTTGCAGAGTTTTCATGACACACTGATGTCATATTTCACATTCTTTGCTCACATAATGTATCACTTACATAACAGTACATTAGCTTGTAATGCCAAACATAATCTGCTTACAGTTCAATATATTGTCTACCAGCAAACATCAGTAATAGTGTGTTATAATTCATTTACCATTAACAATCATGATTCTCAGACTGTCTGAATTTGCTCACTTACTTAGTCTTCAGTTGAATCAAGCAATCAACTCCACACTTTATATTAGGCCGTGCATTTATCTACCCAAATGTGTTGGGTCACTTAATTTGCATTACTTTACTTTACTTTACCTGCACAATACATTACCTGACCTATGTCAATGTGGCCAAAACATAGGAAATGAGTAAAAGACTGGTTAGCACTTCTATTGTTGTTATAGTGTATTACCTTTTTACATTATTACTTTTTTTTATCTTGGTATCCTTTGTGAAAAATTATAGGCTGGTTTAAAAACAGAACGGCTAACTCTTGAGAAGTTGGGAACTTGTAAGGCTGCTCCTATTCCATCCATTCCTGAGGATGTGTTGCAGGTACAGGTGTATGTCGTACTGCATTGTGTGTACTAGTTAAACATTATCACAATCAGGTGGTACGTTTTTAATTCAAATAGCAGTTGACAGGAATAGTGAGTTAGACCAAACTGAGTTCTCAAATTCACAACTTACAGCTTTTTGCTGGTGATATTGTGGAAAGGCTTTGTAATTTTATATTAGTCTGAAATAGTAGGACAATGAGTTATGTGAAACAGTTTAACAAGTTTATTTCATTTTATTACATCTACTAGAATAAAGGGCGAGGCTGGAGTTTCTCAGAGTCGTTACATGAAGAGTCCAAAGATAGGGGATCTTTAGAGGAAAATGTATCAATAGGACATCTTAGTGGTGCCTCCAGCAATCAGACCATTGATCCAAATGACAGGTATAGTGTATTTAGGGCTGTTTCTCAACCTGATGTGAGCAACATTGCAGCATCACCTTCAGTGGAGTCCAATGAAAGATTTGGCGTATTCCAATCCTCTGAACAACCTGCTGTTAATGCTCAGCTACAAAGTGGCGGAGTACCTCTATTTCAAGCTGGTTTTGGGTGGAACAAAAAAGAAGATGGCAATACTAATGAACACTTTCCTAAGGTAATTTAGTATTATCAACTGAGTTGATAACTTAAATTGGCCACCATAAAGTGTTAAAAGCTGATGTTTTGAGCATTAGCCTTTTGTCAGAGTGATGGTAGGTAACTGTGGGTTGTGTGAGTGTTTATATGCAGAAAATGGAGCTATGCTATAGATGGAAATATGGTGACAAGCAAACAAGAGTATATTGGTTTAATGAAAAGTACTTGTTGATACCATGGGGACTAAGAGTGCCAATTTGAAATATATTAAATTTTTGCTCTAGAGTTGTATGGCTTTCCAAACTGCCAAGATGTTGGAAAAGGCCACAAACTGCCATATGCTGCTTAGAATCATTAGATTGTCTAGCAACTGGTTTAGATGCATCCATGTTATTTCTTTCTATGTCGCAAAGGTGTTCTTGGAATTGGTCACCTTAAGTCGTCTTCCTGTTTCACCAATGTATAACTTTTTGCAATAAGTACAAGTTATGCAGTGGACAATATTGGTGAAGGTACACGTGAACTGATCAGTGATCTTAATGGATCTCTTGGGTCCTGACATTTTCTCTACATTATGAATGAAAATTCAAGTTTTGCATTGTGCATTTCAAAGTTCCTCATTGGTCATTAATGTGAAATAAAAAAAGTTGCTTAATATGTTGTTGTGATGTTTGAAATTAGTGGAGACTGCAAAAAGATAGTACTAGTCTGAATCATTTTGAATTAATTTAAAGTTTTTAAAAATGACAGATTTAACTGCGTGGTTGTAAGGGTGAAATGTCTGAGTGAATGGAATGTAATCAATAATTCCCTTCTCAACCATTTGTAGTGCTGATTTTCAATCAATTTGTTGAGTGTGGTGGTGGCCTGCTTGAACAACAGAAACAGAATAGCCATGTTTTGTGAAAACTGCCACATTGCCTCTGATTTTTCCTAAGGAAGCTGATAAACCTTCATGGTACTTTCTTTGGAAATAACAAGCATATCCCATATCCCATACCTTTAACCTTAGGTGTGATCAACTAAACCATGTTTGAACATGTGTTCCTCTTTCAATTTCATCCATAGGAGGATGAGTTTGGTGATTTCCAAGGCCAGACTTACCAGAATAAAAGTCTACAACAGGATGACTTGGGAAATTTCAAGAGCAAGGCAACTTTATTTAGCATGACAACTGAGGTGAACAAAAACTCCAGCCAAATAAAAGATAATGATTTTGGTAGTTTCCAGACAGGAAGTAGTCAGACAAGTCTAGGTTTCAGTGATCCTCCTATGCTTACTTCAAAGTCCTCAGAGGAGGATTTTGGTGAGTTCCAGACTGGGAAGCAATCTGAGACTTTTCATGCTGCTCCTTTGCAAGAGTCAAAAAAACAAGACCAGCTGCAAACCACTGTACAAGAATTTGAAAATTTCAAAGGGAGTGGAAACCTTGACAACAAGATTAAGACATGTGAAGTAAAGGAAGTTGAATTACCTCCCAGAGCAGCTCTCAGTAACTCTTCTGAGTTTGCAATAAGCAATGGTGACAACAACCTGGTGGGAATGAATGACTTTGGTAACTTTCAGCATAGTCCAGGACCGATTTCTAACAAAAGTGGTGTAAGTTCTAGTTCTCATGGTACTGAAAAGCTTGCTTCAGCCCTGGAAAAGTTTAAACTCTCCAGTCATTCTCCGCCATCTGGTTTTGGAGGTGTTGAAAGTCAAAGCTTGCCAAGATTTGAAGATGGAGGAAGAAAATTAACTGAAAGAAAAGAACAGGTTGATAATACCAAGCAGGAGTCCAAAGGAAACCAGAGCAGCTTTGTAGGTTTTCCAATGTTGGTCAGTGACCCTCCTCAAACCACTTGTTTGACTAAGAAAACTGAGGACAGATATGGTGCCATTAGAGATGCTGATTTTAGCTCTGGAGATGGAATTTTCAATGTTCAGCAGACAGCAGTGATGGAAGGTGCATTGGATGATGATGGATTTGCTGATTTTGGAGGCTTTGAGGTAGCTGACCAATTTAAGTCTGGGAACAACAATGACTTTGGGGAATTTAAATCTACAGATGCTTTACAGAGTCAGTCCTTTGGTGTGTTTGGAAATGCTCAACTGGATCCACAGCCTACAACAGCTTCTGTTGAAAATCATAATAATGATTTTGGTAGTTTTAACTCATTTGGCAAGACAAATCTGGCTAAACCTGAACCTGGAAAAGATGATCATGATGAATTTGGGGCATTTGGGTCATTTGTTACAGGTCCATCAAATGCTAGCAGCAGCAGACCATGTTCCTCTTCTAATAGTGACTCACTCATTAACTCAGTGTCATTGGAGCCTACAGAACGTTACAAGGTCCTTTCACATGATTCTGGGGTATGTTACATAGATTTTGCTTTGTTGTTTTGAAATCAGCTGATTGTTAAGTACTTTCTTCAGTATAGTTAAATAATTTTTTTTGGTTGTTCAGTTGAGTGTCTTTTTCTCTGACATGGCAAGTAGAGGTCTCAATTTCCTTTAGACATCTTTGATTTGTTTGTTTTAACCATAACACTTGAAGGTGGGTCTTGAGCTGGTAAACTGAGTTGTTCTGAGCACATCATGACTAATTTTTTTCACTTTTAAATGGTACCAAAGAGGTATCAACTTTAATCCTCTGCTTTCTCTTGTCATTTGAGGCTGAAGAGATGCATTTGTATGTAAAAGTCAATAATAAGTATACCAAGATACATTCAAAACATCTGATTTTCATCTCTAGCTGAAAATATGATAAATTAGTTTATTGGCATAGTGATTGTTTAAGGCTAAGGGAAAATTGATGTATAATTTTTGTTCAGGATGTGGATCAACATGCAAACGCATGGAGCCGTTGTCTTAACAGCTGCCTTTTAACATTGGCAACCGCTACATTGTCAATTCAGAAAATGGTTGAGCAATCTGTGAAGGAGGAGGTCCTGGGGTCCAAAGAAGGAGCCACATATTTTTCAGGTATTTTTGGTGGTGTAACTTTGGATGGTGGAGAAGATATGGGTAAAAATATTTTGGCAAAGTATATGTGTTTATCAAGTGGTATACATGAAGTGCAAACTTGATTGGAGAAAGAAAGGAGGTAGAGGGACTTGAAATGAGTGAAGATAGCAGATTTTGTAGCATAATTATTTTCAAACATTATCAAATCTCATGTAGATTCGAAGAAAGTAGTTTGTGTTTCAAACTTGAGTAGAACTATTCAAACTTGTAGGACTTATTAGAGAAACATAATTGTGTTAGTAACAGATTGCTTAAATCTGATAGGTTCCTAGCAACCCTTATTTGCAGGTTAATGAGCTGTTGCAGGACCAGCTGACTTTCTGATTTGGCCTGTTCAATTACAAACAAGTTGTGGACAGTTCAACAACCAATGAAAATTAAAGAGTAAATGTTACCACCAATTTAGATATAACAACCCAGTCAGTGCCAACCAATTAAAATTAAGAACAAATCATGAGTGACAGCAGTCTTATGCTTTAGCTAGAAACAAAAATGATTCAAATAATGATGTGTTACTGAGAAAAATGGGAAAAATTTTCAATTGCAAAAGTGTACAATGTGAGAAATGTAATTTTAAATGGATGCTATTAGGATTGTATGGTCAATAAATTTGTTGTTGACACAATTAATGAGTAATGCAACTTCATGTGTACATTTTAAGGGTACATATGCAAATAATTGTAAATCAGTCTCAAGCTCCTTGTTCAGCTAGTTTGAGGTTACTAACTCAATTACTCTCCGAATTGTCCAATCAGTCCTTTTTGGCCAATCAGTCCTTTTCCACTTATTAGTAATTGAAGATACAGCATTTCTTACTAGTGATGTTTTGTTACTCTTGTAGCCATAGTTGAAATTTACAGAGTTACACTAAGGATAAATGCATCAGTAACCAAATCAGGTAGCTCTTTTGACTTTCTTCAGATCTTTGTAAGAATTATTATGCTTGTTTAGTATAAAAAAAGAGATTTGTGTATATGAAAATAAAATAAAAACAGGAAAATGATAAGTAAAATGAAATTATGAGGATTAATATATGTCCAGACAACTTTGTGATAAGGATGTTATGTATGAAATACTACTGAAACAAAAGTTTATCATGTTATGTTTGGAGTGGTGAAATGAGATTGCTAGAAATTAACAGTGCTTGTTGAGGCAACTTCTCATGAATGTGGAAACAAAGTGTCAGTTAAAGCTGCAATTAATATCTGAGGAGGAATTAGTTATTGGTAGAAGTTATTAAGTTGTGACAATGGGGCATTGTTTGAAACCTATTTTTCTTTTCTCAAACAAGTTGCTGTTCACTGAATATTTAATGCCTCGTCTTTCCACAGCACCAAATAACACAAAGCTGAAAGATATCCACCAGGAGATTGAGAGCACATGGAAAAACATTGCAAACTTCCTTTCTGGTTCCACCCTTTCAGTAAGCAGCTTTTTTTTAGTAGTTATTGGCAAACTTTGTATCCATAAACAAATGCTTAAGAGTGGATTTTATACTACAACAAAACTTTTTAAAATTTCACTAGCTGCACAACTAAAATTAATTAGGGCTAACTAAACATGCTGGCCACAGAGAAACAAAAGGGGGTCCAAATTGTTAATTATAAATATTAATACAGCCAGAACCTCATGACACAGCCCTGTAACCACCTATGGTTCTGTTACCAACTATTGTTCTACTTTCCAGCTTAAAAATTTTATTTGACAACATTATTTACTCTAGTCATCATTGTCATTAGGTCCATAAATGGCATTCTGATGACCAAGCGCAAGCTGATTTTGAGCTAAATAAGCTATATATGTTAGGCAGACAGTTATGTAGGTAACCAGAAGGGTTATCCATGGTATCTAGACAATTACCTAGGTTAACCAGATGGCTATTTATGGGAACCAGACAGTTATTGTTAGTAACCAGACAAATATAGTGTATTGGCAACCAAAACAGTCATCTTGGGTAACCAGAGAGTTATCCATGAAAACCAGACAGTTATATCAGGTGAAGAGACAGTAATATCATATTTGGTAACAAGAAATATATCTTGGTAACCAGACAGTTCCATTAGTAACCTGGCTGTTAACCATGGTAACCACACATTTATCAAAGATAACCAAACAGTCATCTCAGGTAACTAAAATGTTATCTATAGTAACCAGATATTTATCTCAGGTAACCAGATAGTTATCTAAGGTAATGGAACAGTTATCTTTGGTAGTCAGACAGTTGTGGATGGTAACTAGAATGGCTTACATGACTAGTTAGCTCATGGATACTACAGATTTGAAGACATACTTAGTTCTCTATCAAATCTCATTTTATTATTAGTTATGACTTTAAGCCTCTCTTTACATTCATTATCTAACAATGTTTTACTTGTTTTCTGTAATGATAGCCACCAAGGAGTAGTTTAGATTTCTCAACCCATCATGTCTCAGTTAGTGAAGATGGACGTTCAGCTTGTGGAATTTGTCTTTTGAATGTTGACAAGGGTTCACAAGATTCATCCAAACACAGTGATGGGAAACTCACATATGGAGGCAGACAGTACCATTGCACATGTGCAAACTTTTGGTGTAATAGAGTGGATTCTGTTCTTCCTGCTCTGTTGCCAATTAACAGTTTAATATAACCAGTTGTTTTTACTGGCCATGAATGACATCAATGTCCAGTTAACCCAACAATCCATCTGTTGGGAAGAATAACTGCTTGTAATTTAAGAACATTCAGGTTTAAAGTAAAAAATGGTAGAAGGCTGACTGACAAATTAAACAGAATGGAATAGTAAAACATGTATTTTAGATAAATAAGGTTGATGAAGAATACTATCCATCAGTATTTTAATCATAATTTATTGGAAAGATATAGTGAATATACTTGTTAGGTTGTGAGGTTTTGGTAACTAGAATTCCAATCCAGACTTTTCATTGGATCGAAGAATCCTCTTTTTGCATTAAATATGGTTAGCTTGTTGTTATCAAAAAGTTCATAATTATTTGAAGTGAATAATGATTATGATAGTAATAAAGTACTCTTGACTCTCACAACATTTTTGCTTCTGATGTGGATTACAATGCTTCAGCTGCATACTGCAAGTATTCAGACGAGACAGTGGACTGGTTAGGGTCACCTTATGAAGTTTGATCTACCTTAATGAGTGACTGGTTCTCAACAGAAAGGCAGATTGTGATTGTGCCATTTGCTTCTGCCCCTGGTGGGTCTTCTGGTCTCACCTATATTAACTTTCCCACATAAATCAAGTCTTCTTTAGGCAGGTCAACACCAGCTTTTAGGTGAACTGAGTGTAATCAATGTGCTGTTACGCACTTGAAAAAGGGCTTACAACCTTTTGACGAAGGTAGCAGCAAGTTTGTGTGGACAGACCTCTTACACATGGTAAAACCCCAAATGAAAATTAAGATATTAAGTCATATTTTGGGAGCTTAGCAGACCTTAGAGGATACTTTGTTCACATGACATAGTAGGATATGATAACAAACCCATTCATTATGGTGCACAGATACCATGGATTAGACTCAAAAGAGAGTACACATCTTAAATAAACAGCTTTATTAATTAATCTCCCATGTAAACCTTTTAAAATCATGCAACGTAAATTGTAAGACACTTTGTAAGGTGCTTTCTGCTAAGCCAAAAGGCTCAAAATTTTGTATAATTTACTTGTGGATAGTTAGCATGGAGAACAAAAACCAATTTTATGACTCCCAAACTTAACAAGAAAAACATGCCATCTGTGACTTTTGATAGAGATTCAAAATGTTCGTAGTATCATTATCATAATTGATGCATGAAGACTTTTCTTGTAATCTTCCTTTGAATTAAGGTTGATGGTTACAAATCACCTTCATCCTTTGCAACTCTTCAACACATTCTGTAAATTAAGAAAGGTTGATAAATGAGACTAAAATAAGGTTATAAAGTTTGTGAGATTCCAAATTACGGTTTGGCATTACTTTTTGGGTACTGACCTTAAACACAGTATTCACATGATTACTTTTTAAGGTCCTCTCTCCTTCCTCCAGCGCCTTGATACTTGCTTCTGCTGCAAGGCGTTTGAGAAACAGTATGTAGTCTAGAAAAATCTGCGAGAAGAAATTGGTCACACCATTAAGTTAGACTCTGGAACTTACTAACGTACTATTCAAAGTTAATAATTTCAATCAATTTTATGATTTAGTTATTTACATCAATGCTTCCCTCGACGGGCCTAGATTTCTCACAACTGTTTCCACATAAAGTCAAACACCATAGTAAGCGGTCACTCTGTGTTAAGCGGTCGGCTCTCAAAGTCCCAAAATTTTTACCCCATAATTACTGTAATTTTCATCTTTATTTAGCGGTCACCTTTATTAAGCGGCTATGGTCATACCTGACTGAATCCCACGGCCTTTGAGTATTGCCCTTTTTGTATTATCAGTAACTTAGATAGCATACAAGAAAGAAATTTTTATTTTTTTTAGCTTGATGAAAGTAAGAGAACTTATGATATTAGCTTAAACAAAAAGTCAAAAGTAACTCAGTCGATGAGAAGTTGCTTTGCGGGAAAACAAATGATAAAAAGTTTCAGATTCCACACTTGATGAGAGAACTGATCTTATCTCACCAAAATGTCAGCATTCCGTGACAGCCTTGCTTTCTTCTGATATTTCTTAATGATTGATTTCTGTCTGACCCTTGGAAATGTTCTTTCCATCTTGGCTCACGTTGAGGATGTGATCATGAATTTCGTCTTTCCCTCCCTGCAAGAAGTGAGCCAGCGATCATCTGAATACTCTTCGTGTATTACTCAAGAATGAGTCCGTCGGTAAGGACATGATGAGGGACGCAGGGTTTGATTTCGACGACGAAATCTTTGGAGCAACAACTTGTAGGGAAATCAGGATTGAACAGGTATACGAACCAAAGCAGTGCGATTCCGAGGTGTGTACACAGTAACTCAGGAGTGATACTGACGGTTATTACGGACAAAGTAGAAAACGTTTTACTTACGTGACCGGCATTCATGTACAGTGTAATTGTTTCTTGAACCATTCAGATATTTAATGTATTAGATGCTTCTCTCGTAACAATGGTTTGCACCTATTCTATAGTGTCGTCGATCTGCCACTGCGTAAAAGCAAATCGTTACTAAACCATTGGGACCATCGTACCACGTTAGATCTTCACTATGCAAATCTGTAGGTTGCCAATTCCAATTCTGACTCTTCCCTATGTTTTTGAGTACAAGCAACATTCTATTACAAAAGCTGCAGTCTAATTTGTGACTACTTTTCACCTCTAAGCAGCCAATTTTAACTTACTGCAGCCAATGCGAAACGAACGTTCGACCATTTTGTGGTATATCAACAGAAATAACCCGCCTTTTTAGGTTTCTGCGTGGTATACACTTCACTGATAAAAACTCTCTTTATCTCCAGAGATCTGATTATTAATTCTTCCCTCTAGCTGCTACCATTTCCATGTAAATTAGTTAGGAGAATCGATGTTAGATTAACAAAACAACTTCTACCTGCAAAGTTTGAGTATTCTCTTTACCTGTTTGCTAGATAATATATGGACACTTTAAAGAGAAGTTACATGTTAGTCACCTCTGGGAGTTAAAGTATTGATTTTTAATGTTTTAGAGATGAGTGATGTAAATATTTTGCTCTAAAAATTTGACAGGCTGTGTGGGAGAAATTCAAAATGCATTTTTTTAGCACTGCCCTCTGATTTGTTATGAGTAGATGCAATGATTTTCTTTTGGATGTTCCTTATTGTAGTGGTTTATGAAGTTCCATGTGAAGGATGAAACAGAGAGACAGATTATAAAGAAGTACCAGGGGGATTTGTTTTTTCAGAAGCATCAGTATTCTGAAGCTCTCTCCGTGTATCAAGAGTCTCTGCAGTGTTTGACACCAAATAATACAGTTCTAGAATGGGAGTTAACAGAGTCTATGGCTTTGTGCTTACTGAAACAAGATAAGCCTGATGATGCCTTATCTCTTGTCAGGGGGATGATGGTGAGTTGTTTAGTTTTGCTTCTGATTAAAGGAAAATTTAAATTAATCAGACCATGTTAAATAAGGATTATGCAGTTAGTAAAAAGTACTATTCATTAGCTAAGAATTGTCATCGGTACATAAGGTAAGTAAATGAGTACCAGTAAGAGGCTAACAAGTTTTATGAACCTAGTTCATGGCAGTTGTTGATAGTTTATGGAAAGCGTGATATGTACTTGCACAGCTTGCTTGCTTGTTTCTTTGGTGTTTTGCTTTTTTTTTTATCAATGCCATCTCTTGCTTCTGGCAGTCATGTTTTCAGAGCTTTCTCTGCTTTTTATTTATTCTTCTTCCTTGTTCAAACTGTGTGATAGTTGATTACAGGTGATAAAAGTGTGAGAAATGTGTTTCATTTGTTAGTTAGAGTTATCAACATTTATCAGGCTGCTTCATCAAAGTGTTAGGTGAAGAGTATCTGTGTCTGCAGGAAAAGTTAAGCACATGAGAATGAAAAAGGAAACAGTCTTTTTATAAGTCTATTTTCCTAGTTGTGCTCTTTATCTCAGAGATTCTTTTTCTAGAGGCCGGAGTTAATTTGATTTGTAAAAGTTTTCCCAAATCAAAATTATTATAATTGTAACATACTGCTAAACAATTTTTCTATTACAACTCCCAAACAGCATGTCAACCAAGAAAATGAATCATCATACTGGTATTTACTGTACCAAATTTATAGAGCCATGGGAAATATTGAAGGTACTGGCTAAAGATTTTGAGCTACATCTGAATATGTCTAAAGAAAAGTGCTTGTAAATTAGCTGGACAGTTTTCCTTTAATTTTCAATGTTACATTCAGTAGAATTGCAGTCTGCAATACCATTTATTTGCTTTTCATTTGGTAGGCGAAATAGAAACTCTTCAAAGATGTGCGACCCTTCACTCCTGGAATGCTCAGTTTTGGTTCTCTTTAGCTCTGGCATATGAAAAGGCATCTGTTAGCTGCAGTAATCTGTGTCAGGATGAAGATGTAACAAAAGTTGAAAGGGAAAGAATTTCTTTTATGAAGCATGATCCGGCTATAGAGAACTGCACAAAAAGACATTTAAATGGAGAAAGTCAGTCTCAAGAAGGGTGTTGTATGTGTACAACAAAATGCCCGTGTCTTTCAACTAAAAAACAGATACAAAGTTTGACACAAACAGAGCCTTGCTGCCTGGATGAAGAAAAGATAAGAAATCACTTGGCAAATGTGGATACTGGAGAGCAGGACTCCTCTGTTACTCAGTCAGATAAAAAAACAGAACTTCAAGATCAATCTATTTCATGTCTGTGCAAAGGATGTTCAGATTCGCTTGCAGATGGTAGTGATCTCTATTTGTTTTCAAGCAACAAAAAATATCTGCTGGAAGAATGGGAATGTACCAGGAAAAGATTAAAGTGGAGGAATCATGCTCTTTCATTTGGCTCTCTTGTTAAAACTAGGTAACATCATGGTTCATCTTACTTGTCCATTCATTTCATATAATTATTGCAAAATAGTTAACAAGAATATTCTGCTGAATTTTGCCAAAAATTAGGCTCTTCGAAAATAAGTTCTATGTGAGGTTTTACATTAATTGTAAACACGAGAGATTGAAGATGTTCTTTAAATCTTGATAACATTGAAGATGTACATTTTTCTGTCTATTTAGGTTCTTCCTTGAAAAATCTATTGAGTCGTCTTCATCATTTGCAAAGGAAAAAAGTAGCATTCTTCTCAGAGAGGTTAACTGTAACTTTTATTACACAAATATGAAAATTCTAAACTGGTCAAAAAATCTGTTAGATGGCTTCCAGTAGACTGACTGCTGCTATTAAGCAGAGAATAATGATGTTGTTAACTCTTTAACCCTGAAGACAAAATTTCTCATTACAATATCAAGCAGACAAGGGATGAGAATAATGAAAATATCAACTAAGAGATTATTAGTTGATTAAATACCAGATTCTCTGAATCAGTATCACAAGAATTAAATGATATACAGTGAGGAGAATTGCTAAGACAATTATTGGTCGGAGTGAAAGGGTTCATTTATCAGAGTTTTTAGAAGGTCATTTTTATGAGTTGCAAAGTGTGGTGGTTATTTTGTGTGTGGTACAAGAGGTCTGTGATAGGTCATCATTATAATTGATAATGATTGACAATAGCTAGTATAGAAAAACATTTACCAGTATATTAGTAAGTCTTTGAGCTTTGAATTATTCACTTTCTCAGAGCATGACCATTGAAGTATGTTCTTACATGATATTATTATTACCAGGTGAATAGCAAGATTGCAGGTCATGCAGAATGTGGTTGTGCCCACCTGATTGAAAAAGTCTTGGAGGTAAAGTGGAACCTCTAAATATCATCACTGTCAGGGCACAATAACATGCAGGGTTGTAAAAATGGGTTGGTTAAATTAATTTCTTAATTTGGTAATGGCACAATTTACATTGGTTGTATTAGTAAGGTAGCCATCCTTTGAAAGTAATTAAAGGAAGGTAGAAACAGTCATGTAATCTAATCAATCAATTTTTGTTTTGTTTCAATTTAATCAGATGTTGTACAGTTCTGTCACTGCAAGTGGACAAACACAGTTAGACCAGGAACAGAGTGAAACAAAACTAAAGGTGGAAGTTTTGTCTTTGTATTTTGAAATTTTTTTGTATATGAGGAACTCTTAAAAAAAGTAAAAAAGATTTTAGAACTTAACATTTGTTTAAGACCTCTAAATTGCATATAACTTTTGAATTCAGCTCCAGAATGAAAGATTCTCTGAATCTGTCCTGTACTAAGCTTCAATTTGGCTTGTGAGTATTAGGTTTAACAGGGGAAATTAAATTTCTATTCCATCTTGATGAGCACTACTTTGAAATAGTAGGCTGGAGGGTTTTTAAAGTGTTCTTTTGACCTGGGTTAATTCATTTCTCAAACTCTAAACAACTGTCTCATTAACAGCCAGTAATTTTTTTGTGTTGTTTTTAGGAGAGCAGATCAGAAACAATGTCCACAGAAAGTGTCACAAATTCTTATGTGTTTGAACAAAAGTGGTTCAGTGACTTACTCTCCTACATGGATGCAATTTAACACTCTCATTCTATGAAATGTCTTCAGACATTTTAAGTGAATTGTATACTATATAAATAAATTGAAATAAAACAATTATTGATTCAAAATGAAAGGTAATGTTATGCTGTTTTTGTAAGCCAGAATTTTGAATAATCTTATGTATGTTATAGAAACTGGCAATGCATCAGGGCTGTTGTCAATGAGGATTGCCTTAATTTTATTCTAAGAGATAAAGGTGTAAGTCATGTTCAGATCAGAAGGGACAACTCATGTTAATTCAATTTTGGCTACATTGGCTAATCCATCCCCACCAGCCTTTACTTGTTGATAAGTTTGGTGGCTCACCCGTTCATCAATGTATTACAACAGTTTCTTTAGGAACTCATAGCTTTTGTAAATATGAACAGAATAATGCTTATACCCTGCTCAATCAAGTCCTTTAAGAAGTGCTCAACAAACCAATGATCTTGTCTCTACAGGAACTATTTTTACTGCTTGTTTCTTCTTAGAGGTACAATTAAGCCTTGCAGTGGAACCCTTAAAGAAGCAAAACTGTTTTGTTTTAAAAATAATCTCAGTTTCAATCCACCATACAGAGAAAAATATGGGGGAAATTTTACTGAAAACTTTTTTTCCCTCAGTTACAGACATGTAGAGCTTTTTCTTTTGTTTTCTTCTATCGAGATACCCCATCATGACCTTTGTCTGACTAGGTCAACTGAGAGTGAACCCTTGCCCTACTTATTTGCATTGCAGCCCTACGTTTCTCTATCAAGAGGACACTAGGAGTTGAGGTAAATGAAGGACAAATCTCTTTGTTATTTCAGCTGCTGTAAATTGTTAAGCCCGCAATGCTAAGAAGAGAAGATGGCTGGACGAAGTCTCGTGCCAATATTCCAAGATTGTACATCATTTCATAGATTAAATGGAACCTTCAGATATGCAGTACGAACGAGACTTTTCAGTAACGGAACGATCCCTCCACTTAACGAGCCTTTACCCAATCTGCCAGCCCCTGGCATGGTTGGGAGAGCAGACTGGCAAAACCGGCACGATCACGTAACACACGTTACTACTCTGGAAAATGGCATCAGAGTTGCATCAGAAGACTCTTTTGGACAATTTTCCACAGTAGGTGGTAAGTTTAGAATAAATGTATAGAAAACGATGTCTTCGGAAAAATCTTTAGATTGATGAGAGTGCGATTTTCTTTCTTAACATGTGTGTGTACGATTTGACAATGTACATATGCATTATATACATATGACGATCACGCACGTGCAATCAGGATCTAAAATGCTCCGACTGTCAGGCGTGCAACTTGTGTAGCTTCAGCGCGAGACTGACCGAACGTGGGAGAGAATGATTGAAATTAAGAAGAAATAAGGAAACCTCATCTCCAGTGACTCTTTCTTCTTCCATCGAAACTTACCCAATTTGTAGCTAGGCACGTCTTCATCAAAGTCTTTAGCACTGGAGTTCCTTTTCTGAATCATTCTTTCCTCTCATTTGTAGTAATTGACATTAAATGATAATTAATATTTCATTACTTGTTCTGACATGTGTTATTGTTGAGAATGTCTGTCTTCTCCCATCAGTAAATAGTTATCTAAAATTTCATTACTGGGAATAATTCACAATCAAAGCCCCTGAGGAAACTTAATGAATAGGGTCATTAAAAGTACTTTTATTGGTAGTGAGTTAACTTTAGATCAAAATTAGATAGGCCATTATTTTATGGAGCCAAGTTAAAAAAATAAAACTTGTCCTGATGTATAACAGAACAAAAAAAGTTTGAAAACCCACAGCCCAAATGATTAGCCTGCTAGACTCAGGATCAAGAAATTTGAGTTTGAGTTTGAGTTTGAGCCCTCCAGGCAAAGGTCTCTCCAGATAATTTGGATGAGATGCTTTTTCTCTCACAGTGCTTGTGATACAAATGGAAATTACTAAGCCATCAGGTAATGTGACATACTGTTGGGGACAAGCTGTCGTAGACAAGCTTGAAATCAAGGAGAAGAGTCTCATTATTCATTTCATACTTTGGAAACAAAGTAAGAATAAAATCCTGCAGGTTTTAATTATTATGATCATGCTACCATATTCTAAATGATTAGTTGTTTTTTAATTACCAACCTTATCAAGATTATGATGGTACACCTTTCCTGGTTTATTTCTTTTCTGTTTTCAGTTGTTATTGATGCAGGTTCAAGATATGAGGTTGATTACCCTGCTGGTTTATCACACTTGTTGGAGAAACTGGCTTTTCAGGTAAAAAGCTACATGCTTGTTTCCTTCTTTCCTAGATCACAACCCTTAAAGTCAGTGACATTTGCTTCTCTTTCCTGTTGTATAGAGCACAGTGGAATTTCAGAATAATGATGATTTCACACAAGAGTTAGAGAAGTTTGGAGGCATGGCAGACTGCTCCTCATTCAGGTAATCAAGATGTTTTTAAAGACTTGTAACTCTAGCCATGATTAGCAAAAATGAAGTGTGCTTTCCATTTAAAAAAAGTGATAATGATTACAGGATATATCAATAAACCTCTTCATTCTATATTATAATGACCAAGATTCTTGAGCCCTGCTAAAGGTTCCTATAGTAAAGTAAAATGAGTAGATGGCCTTATTTTTAGTAACTTTGTATAATTATGTCTTTTTTGTGATATTCATGGCAAAGGAATCTTCGTATAAATGGAAAATCTTCCTTTCTATTTCAATTGAAAAATGTAAAATTTGTGAGAAATTATTTCTCACTTTTAATTTTTTTCCAAATCCTTATGTCAACAGGGATGCCATTATTTATGGAGCATCTTGCTTTACAAGTGGCCTGCCCACAGTAATGAAAGTTCTTTCTGAGGGTGTACTTCAGCCCAGACTTACAGACCAAGAGGTGATGATTATTGACTATTATACACAAAGGGCCGTTGAGTTTGATTATTAGTATTTGGATGTCTAATTCCATGTCTACTGTTCAGTGTATTGAATATCTGTTTAGCTTCAAGACAAGTTTTGCTATTTGTACAGTACTCATTTAGCTGTAATCCAGGCATGGTAGTGTGAACGTGGCCTGATACACCCACTAGAATTTTAGCAATACAGATTTGAACACCAGGTGCATAGGAAGTCATAGCTCAATCTTTTGTTCAAAGACTTAGACAAGACTAATTGAAAAAAAAAAAATTGAATTTTTTTGCCAAGTAAAGTACACATGCTATCGTGAAATATGTCTAATATACTTCCTTAAATAAAGTCAGTCAAGAGCAGAAACTTTTTTTTCAGTCTCCAAGAAGTTAAGCTAGGAAATCTGACAATACCAAACAGTTTGTGCAAGCAGAGTGACACTTTTGATGTATTTAGTCCATGTTTTATTGTTCAAATAGTACACTTCGTTACATGTTCTTTCCAATACTTGTAGATTGAAGAGCAAAAGATGGTAGTCCAATTTGAACTTGAGAACATAGAAATGAGACCTGATCCAGAACCTGTCCTCACAGACATGATTCACGCTGTAGGTTGAATTGAAATATTTCCTTACTGGTATTACTGTATGTTAATAAATTAAATGTTCAACTACATAGCTGTACAGTATTTTGTGGGTCATCTTGAGTTATAAAAAAAAGATTGATCATGCATTCTTTTAGTAAAATGATAAGAATGAAATTCAGTTGAAAATGAATATACTCAATCAAATAAATTTTGTGAACAACACTATTAAACAGGATATGGAAGAGTATCCTAAAAGAATTTTGTGAGTTCAAGAAAGTGCCTTTCATACTTAACTAGGATAATTAACCTTTTTAAATTCTTGAAAATGTTAAGAAAGATATTGATTTGCATTTCATTGAAATTTCCTGAGAATTTTTAAATTTTATTTAGCTGTGGTCTGTTTTTCCATTTCTTACATATTTGTTGTGTTACTTATTTACATTTCTAAATTTTACTTATTCATTATATTTGTTCCTTTTGGTAAATTTGATTTCTTCTCATGTCTTACAAGCTTGGTAATTTAGTTGTGTTGTTTAGGTTGGGTGGCCTGCCTAAAATAGCTCAGCTAACTGCAGGCTGCTCAGGACAGAATGTTAATTTATAGTGATGAAAGTTAATGTTGTCATTTTTTCATACTATTATTAAACATTGCAAAGTAATGGGAGAGGAGTTACCGACATTCACTTCTTCAGAAAACAAAATTTAGTGTTTCTAGAACATTGCTCCATTCCATTACCAAAGTGAATGGTGATGATTATGATAGATGGCATCTGTCACAATATTAATGTTTGGGGGAGCTTGCAAGTGAAGTGACTGGCACCATTTTGAATACACACATGCTTGTGTGACAAAAAATTTTTGGAGTTAATTGGCAAGTTTTAGTTCTCTTGAACCTATTACTTGTTTTTGTTTGCTTTTATCTCCCTGTTTAGGCAGCCTTCCGTGATAACACACTAGGCCTACCTAAGTTGTGTCCACCAGAGAACATAGGAAAGTTCAACTCTTCAATTTTGCAAGACTACTTAAGAACATACTATCAGCCATCCAGAATGGTTATTGCAGGAGTTAATGTGGACCACCAACATCTAATAGACTCGACAAATGAATACTTCTTTAAGAAACCACCTGTGTGGCATAAAGGAGGAGAGAAATCTGCAAGTCCTGACCGATCTATTGCTCAGTACACTGGAGGCTTTATTAAGGTGCACTTAACATTTTTATACTTTCCTCAAGGTGCTCCCAACCTTCTTGTTTACCAGAGAAAAAGAGAGAGAAAGTGCTTCATGTTAGAAAGGGAGAGAGTGTTTGTGTCAAAAAGGTTTAGATGTCCAGGATTAAAATTGGCATATTTCAAATTTACAGTACCATGGACATATTTGGATTATAGTGGAGCTTGCAGAGTGTAGCCCCATAATTATAAAAAATAGTAGTAACCCATCAAGCCGAAAAAATTTGGATGTACAACTGTACGACTGTACAAGGTGCTACTTTTAAGATGCATGGTCAACTGTACCACAGGCATGCTAACGCCATGGCTCTGTCCGGTGGTCCAGTGGTAAGTGCACTGGGCTCCAAGTCAGACTACCCAGGCTCTAGTCCCGGCCAGGGCAAGGTGTTGTGCCCTTGAGACGTGTGGGGAAAAAAAATGCGAGCTCCGCTTTTACGCTTGTCTAAATCTATATATTATATCTGGAAGCATTTGTTACCCAAGGTTCCCAGTGTATTTGTGAGTTTAGGCAAAGACAGTGGAAAAGTTAATTGCTTGATACTCTGGATGAAATATTAGTGGTTCATTTCAAGGCCTCGTTTACATTTGATTTGATGTTAGTGTAATAGGTTTTGAGCAAAGAGCTATATTTTGCTGTGTTGGTTGTTTTAAGACTGACTAATCCAGTAACTAATAATCACTTTTGTTTTGTAGGACCACAGAGCTGAACCCAGGATAAATCCTGGCCCCACCCCTCTGCCAGAACTAGCCCACCTCTCCATTGGATTGGAAACATGTCACTATGATGACCCTGACTTCTTTGCATTCACTGTTCTGAACACCATGATGGGTGGAGGAGGATCATTTTCAGCAGGAGGTCCTGGCAAGGGCATGTACTCTCGCCTTTACTTGAATGTCCTAAACAGATATCACTGGATTTATGCTGCCACAGCATACCACCACAGCTATGCAGACAGTGGTTTATTTTGTATCCATGGAAGTTCTCACCCTAGTCAGGCAAGGACAGTTTTTGTGCTCCAAATTATTTTTTTTAAGTCGTTATTTGTTATAGTGGTTGTTTTCTTTGTGAAACTGTGATAGGAGGGAGATAAAACTTCTAGGTGTTCAGTTTTGTTGTAGCTGAGTTTGTCATGTTTTCATACATCATCATAGTTTTCTATTTTGTACCAAGAAATGCCTCGTTTTGTGCACTTTATTCATCATCATCTTTGCCAGCTTGTTCGAGGTTCCTACCTGGAAACTTGGATGTGATTTAACCCAGCAGGGAGTCCTCATACTCTTCTTTAGCCCATCTCTTTTGAGTAGAAACACCAAAGGTTCTACAAGGTGTAGATGTATATTAAATGATACATTCCCTACTCCAGATTCCTTGTTTTATTTTTACTCAAACTAATATTTTTGTGTCACAGCACATTATGATAATTTTTTTAAACTGATTTCTCTCTTTAGTTGCGGGACCTCACTCAGGTGCTTGTCAAGGAATACTTTAATCTCGTCAGTGGTTCTGTGAATGAGGTGTGTTTCCTAAAATAGAAGTGAATTTTTCATAATCAATAAGCATTCCATATTTGCATACTTCTTTGTCTAGTTAAAGGGAACCCTAGTGTGGTGAAGCCCATGTTCTTATTACATGGTGCACTGTGGGAGTGGTTGGTGATAATTCTCTTGCAATGACAGAGGCACTTTGGAAATAGAGTATCATGAAGTATGGAACTTAAAGAGTTTTACACTCAAGGGGGTATATTGGTCATAAACTACTTAAAGCCGTGGATATTACATGTATACCAATTAACCTCTTGCTACATCTCTTAGTTACTATGTGCGTCATAACTGGTCAATTTAGCAGGCTGTATTTCACGATCCTTCGAAGTCCGTAACTGACGATACGGACCTCGAAATCACTTCGTAATTTATGCTCTTTAGGTGAACAGTTTTGCAACAGCGATTATATTTTTATCAGATGACTTATGTTATATTTTACTGGGAAAAAAATGCCTCCTATTAACCCATGCATTGCAAAGTGATTCTTCAAGCTGTTCTCTGGCCATGTTATCACTTAGTGTAGGTATAGTTTCTTGTGCAGAAGGGCTACAACCATATTATGTATTGTTTGCAGGTTGAAGTAGCGAGAGCCAAGAAGCAACTCCAGTCTATGTTGATGATGAATCTAGAATCAAGAGTTATTGTATTTGAAGATATAGGAAGGTAAAGTTGTACTTAATTGTTATTTAAACTTTGGTTGCGAGTGGCGTTCTGGTGTTGTGGTTTTTTTTTTCTCGCTGTTTTCTTTCTTTTGTTCCGCATTGTTTAGCTAATATTGTTTGCTTTCTCCACAGAATTTCGTGTTTCAGTGACAATGAATTTCGTTGAGCGGGGTTTGTGAAGTGATTACCATTTTAGAAGAAGTAACATAGTTTTTTTTTTCTAGACAAGTTCTCGGACTTAATAAAAGGAAGTCTGCTCAAGAATTATTTCAAAGCATTGGTAAGACTTAGTTGTGATTTATTTCATGTATTGCTGAATTTTCAATGCTAATTCTTCTTTATTACAATTTTTCGATGAGGTATCCCTATATCCCCATGATTCCGTTGAGAGCGGTAACTTGCGGCGGAGCATTAGAATACAAATCAGTATGTGAAGTTTTACATGCAGGCCAGTCATATTCTTCCTTTACAGTTATCTACCCAAAATAATTTCATACTATTAATTTAACCGCAGAAACCAAAATTGAAACCTATTTTTCCCTAATGAAAGATCGAATTTCGTTGGTTTTCAAGTGTTTATAACCAAGTGGGCTCGTCGAGTAGCTATCTATCTGGACTTTGCCCTTTGCATGTGGAATACGTGATAAAATACAGGCCGTTTACAAGGACCTGACATGATAGGCAAAGTCCAAGGTTGCTATAAAAAGTGAGTTTAATCGGTAGAAAATGTTAAAGCACATGAAGAGTGCAAGAAAAATTGGTTTAAAGCGGAATTTTAGTCAATATGAACTTAATTCAGTGGTGTAAGAGTATTTCGTATAGTTTAGGTTGTTTATTGGAAAACGTTACATACAGTGCAACGTCTAAGCAAGAGTAAAAAGTATGGACCTAACTGTTAAAGGTTTTTGTCAACGATGCTAACCGCCAAAATGTCCTATAACTTATTTATTGTCCAACTGCTTTAATTTATATGTATTTCTGACTCAAAAGTCGGGCAAGAAGCGAGCAAACAGAGTTGCGGTTTTTGACGGGTGTTACGTAACGCGCGCGTCGTATTACAGTACAAAATAACTAACTGTCCAGATAGCCATACAATATCGCGGGATGTTTGATAACTAACTGTCAAAATAGCTATAGAAAATCGCGGGATGAAAGCTAGGTTTTTCGTTTGTCTCACGATGTAGTCACGTGTGATGTAGATCGCGACGTTTCGACTGTATACTACTAGTCTTCTTCTGGCGATAAGGTTGACTGGTCATGTGTGATCTTATAAAGCATGATGCTCTGCTGTGATTAGTTGTTTTTTCAACAGCTCTGATTGGTGCATTTCGATCCTTGTTGTGATTTGCTCCCTCGGCGGTCCGCTGCCGCACGGCTTCTTATTGTTGTGTTTTTTGATCGTGGACATCCACGCTTCTGGAATTTCTATTCCATCATCACTGTTGATGTTGTCAGGGTGAAGTCTTATAGGAATTGCTTCTTTGACCCTGTGTTTGTAGTAACAAAGGTCACGATCAATCGCATTCATAGGATTCCATGTGAATGAGGCAAGGTGTACAACGGAGAGACTGGAAGACCTATGCAAGACAGAATTAAGGAGCACGATCGAGACATCCGACTCGCCCGTACCGAGACCTCCGCCGTTTCAGGGCATGCCCACAACACTAGACACAAGCCACTCTGGAACGAAGTAAAGTTTATTGATCTTGACCCTTTTTACTACACGCGCAGGGTCAAAGAGCCAATTCATATAAGACTTCACCCTGAAAACATCAACAGGGATAGTGGAATAGAAATTCCAGAGGCGTGGATCCCCACGATCAAAAAACACAACAACAGGAGAGCTACCTTACCGCTCTCCCAAGATCTTCCAAATTTTCCCCAGCACTAGCCCTTAGTTCTCTAATTTTTCAGCCCACTTGAGATCAGTTCGTTCGTGGTCTTGTTACATCTTTAGGTAGTAAGGTGATCCTATGTTCATCACAATGTCAGTGTGTATAATGAATAGGAAATAAATCCAATTTTGGGTAATCCAATTTTTGGTGACCTTTGGTGTCTTAACAACTTTGCGGGTTCAGTTCCAAGCTGGGTTCAGTGAGCAGTGTGCTCACTCCATTTAGAGAGAGTACACGCGTTAGTTGTGTCATGGTGTAGAAACCTCGAGGAATCGCAGACAGTCTTGAAAAGCCTGTTGGCTTTACATCTTCAAGAAGACATACATTGTACATTTATTTTTACAAATGTGTATCTTTCTATTGAAAGTGGATGAAATAGCTCTGTCTATTTCCGTTATTCCCACGCCATGATTAAAGAGTACCTTTCTCCTTTTTTTCTGCAGAAAACGTTTCAGTCGACGATATTAAGCGCGTTAGTTCCCGGATGCTAGCGACTAAACCTTCCGTCGCTGCACTTGGTAACCTGGCCAATCTTCCTAAATTCGAAGACATTAAACGTGCCTTTACAAACGGCGGCCATTTCAGCGGAGCGTCACGCTTCTTCCGGTTTAGGAACTAATGGTGTCATCACTTCGTTCAGATTATGACCTCAACTCTCTACATTCTTCGACCACTCAACAATCCGTAAATATTTTGAGGCGGTTTCAAGCACATAGAAGGAAATATTTCAGCCTCCTTCAGAGTTGCGCAGACTGAATAGCAAATAGAATGGAAAAGAACTTCTTTTTACCCTACTCTATGCCAGTATCAGCACACAGTCTTATCGTTGTGTCGCTTTATTGTAATGAATTTATTTGATAAAGCATTAACTATTTCTGCTCGCGCGCCATTGGTCTAAAGGCTCGGAAATATCCGGTGATGTTCCGCAATTTCACACCTTAAGATTAAATTCTAGACCCAAAACTGTCATTTTTATCATATTATTATAATTTTTTATGTCTTTGTTATTATTATTATTGTTATTATTATTGTCACAAAGAAGAGACAGACTTCTTATTTCACAGAGTCGTTTACAGTAAAAGTTTTTCTAGTGAGCTGCCTGTAAGTACTTTGTGCCAAGCGCTGCAAAAAATTTTGCCTCCATTTGGTAGGAGATTATTATCTCGCCAAACAGAGGCTTTTGTTGACATGAAGTATGATGTGTAACATACCACCCATAGTACTGCCCTCACTTGCCCCATTTATGATACAACATCGTGCCATGAAGAGTTTTTATTCGGGTTTGTTGGAACCCGAAACAATGTATAGTCAATTGCCAACACAACAAATGAGAGAGTGAAAATTTAAGGGAAAACTAACGATATCAGCTAAGATTGCATTTTTACACCTGACTGATTGACTGTGGGAAACCTGTTGTTGTAGACCAGTCAGAGAGCGTTGCAACCATTCACGCTGAACGAAGTTTATGTAACTTACGGTCAAACAAAGAAGGAGATGTACGTCTCCAACTTTTATGGCTTCGTAGTTTATGAATTGTGTTTCGATATGAAGATGTTAGTGTACTGGTCTCGATCGCTGGAAGGGTGGACTACGCTATCCACTGAGTAAATATCCACTCGGTGGAAAGCGAAATAAGTTTTGTTAACACTTATCCGCTGGACAGCGTTATCAGCCCTTTGATCAACTGGACCTTGGTATATTTTATCTAAAGGTAAAGCGGTCTAACGTTGTCCTTTTTGTTCTTCAACTTCAAAATGTCCAAATGTATGTTTGACATAGTGTTTGTACAAGATTTTTCAGTCGATGGTCCTCTTAATAAATCTTTATTTCTGTGTGGTTTGTGCTGCTTTCTCGTTCGGTCCACCCCTGCTTCCTCTTGGAGAGAGAACATGTCAGGTAGCTAATTGCTAAAGAACGGTAGTAAGCGTTATGTCGGCTTGAACCAATCTATTCAAAGTTAAGGTAGTTTGGTAAACTCGGCCGTTCATCATAAAACTTGAGTAAGATTCTCTCCAGCCATACTTTGCTGTTTGCTTCTTCTGATGTAAGAATCCTGCGGTAAGGGATAGTCGTCTTCACGTGTGGAAGTGCGTTAAAGTATTTAAAATATGCCTTTCATCTACACTGGTAGGCGGAGTCTGGGCGAATTGTGCTTGGCTAAGGGTCTGTTCCGCATTCGAAAGCTCTAATTGGATTTCATTTGCTTTAGAAAAAGGAAAGTTAAATTACTCGTCACTATGTTAAACTTTAACACCTTTGATCCAACCTAAGATCATTTCAAAACTAACTTTATGGCAGTAAAAGGTATTTACGTTAGAAGTGACCAGTGTCGTTTAGCAAACGCTGGGAAATGTTACCTTTGGCGCCGATTTAAAATTCCTCAGGGTTGCCCATAACCAAGTTTGGAAATAGTGAATTAATTGAAAAAGAAAAGTTAAGAGGGGGAACTCGTGTTCTCTTCGTGTTCCTAAAATTTTGCTTATAACTTTATCTGAATGGTACTAGTAATGGTTCTTGTAGTGTGAAAAAACGAATATATTTCGCCGAAGCACTTTTGTTGTTTACTGGGGTGACCTGCAGTAGATCTTCATTGATGGTCACCCGTTGAAATCTCTTGGCGCGGACAGTAAATTTATATAACTGCCAAATGCAATTGGCCAAGCGTTGAATAAACTCTGTTGGAAAATCAAAACATGACAAACCTCCAGAGCTTTTATGATTACTCGCACTCTCAGGTTAGTGTGATTTGTTGGTATCAAATGAGGTAAAAAAACAAATTTAGGTTTTTTATAGTCCCATTTTAAGTGAAGAACGATTATTAGAAAGGTACGGACGGAAATTAGTTCATTTTATGTTTGTCATAATATTCAAAGCATGTGACTTCAAACGCCTCCATAAACAGCCCGATACCCCGACAAATTTTTATTTTTTAAAAGCATTATAAATTATGAATATCACTCCATAGTCCCTCAACCGACGGAATATCAGTTGTCACTTCTGAGGAGATTATCTTAAATGTTTTGACACATTTTCGAAAAACTGTAGCATTTGAGCAGACTAGAGCATCTTACGGTAAGCCCAGTGTCAGAAGTCGAACACCGAACATAAAGAGGAGAAAACAAATATTCTCTTGTTTGAGTCGTCGATACTTGGTGGTTCATCTTGCAAAGCGAGATCATATTCTACGAGAAGAATGTTGTCAAGTACAAGCTTCGAAAGAGCAATGATGCTGGCGGTATTTTCTCTTTTCGTACTGTGTGTGACATTTGTTATCAGGAAAGAGTTGCACGAGGAAGGCTCCTTTGAATACCAAGACACAGCACGGGCCAAGAAGGAAATAGACCAATCCTATGAGCTACTGATTGCAAGTTCCGAGCAGGATGATACAAGACGTGAGGTCAAGGATAAGGACTTCAACGCCACCCTGATCAGATAATATCACCGTTCAGTACCACTGGTCACTCGTTCGAAGACTCCGTGAGTGAGAAGGAGATATGTCTGATAGCCAATTCAGAAACGGAAGATTTTCTCGGTTGCTATCCAGAAACAAGTAGAGGAAAAAGGCATTGGATATACGCTAATTACTCTTGATTAGTCTGATTAATTGTTCCAAAGCAAAATAACTGGTACTCTTTTATCTTAGCTTATTTCATGAGACCATAAAAAGTGGAAAAAGCCCCAGGGATAATGTCCGGTTGGTTGAATTCTGTCTGTTCACAAATGTAGGGGAGTAGCAGGTGCGATCACAAGAAGAGTCCGACGAACAGTTTTACAACTTATGGAAAAGAGAAAACCACACAAAACAGTGAAAGATAAAAAGACAACGAGGAGAAAAAAAGCACCGCATATTCAAGCAGGCTTATGAGTCAACCTGCATACAAAATGCCTCAAATTATAGGGTTAACCTTTTTCATGTGATCCATCGATTTGTTTAATTTGCTTTGCTTTAAATGATTGTGGTGATAGTTTTGCATATATTCACTTGGGGTGTAACAGTAGCACATCTTGTCTTCCGTTTGACCTATGCAGGCCACTGGCCTTCTAATGTATAATCAAAAGGAAACCGCGTATGCTTGATTCGTCGAATTTGCGACTCATTTCCAAGCCCAGATTTGTAATGCCCTTTGACGTTTTACGTTTTTCTGGTTTTGTCTTTTTTATTTTAAAACGAGTTACGTGTGTAGCAAGAGCTTAAGAACTAGGTATGTCTACCAGGATAAATACGGTCACGTTTTGTGTTAAAAAAAAATTAATCTCTTTCTCACAAATTATCATGATAATATTTTTGTTGAATTGTTTCATTGAACAATCGAACTGTACAGAATGTAGTGTAGTAACTACCACCTGAACACTTTAACTTCCATGAGTGACCAAAGAAGAAGTTTTCCTTTCAATGTTGATACATCATTAAGTGACGGGAATACGGAAAAATGTGAATTAGGAAATAATTAGTTGATCCAATACCAAATTCTCGGAACTGACTTAATAAGAATTGTATGGCAGACAGTAAGGAGAATTACTGATGACACCTTGTGGTTGAAAGGGTTAAAGTGTTCTTTCATATGTAGACAATATTGAAGGATCAGGTGAAGAATGAAAGTTCTTGTGACTGATAAGGATGTTGGCATTAGAATTAGAGGGACATCAAGGATCCATGGAACAATCCTGATCACAAGCAGAGTGATTTACAACAAAATAACATTTTTTAATTTGTAATATGCTTGGAAAAGTCCAAATCCTTTCTACCAACAACACATTTAAATAATTCTATGCGATGGAATGTCATAATATTAGTATTGTTGCACCAAAATACTAAGATTTGATTACAAATTGTACTAATCAATTCTGGACAATTATGATCATCATAATCCTGTTGTTAAAATCATATTGAAAAGTATTTGACTGATACTCAACTGCATCATACATGATAATCTCACCAAAACAACCCTATTTTAGAAAATAACAAATAAAAACAAAAACAAAAGGGATCAAAATAAAATGCTTGAAAGGATAGGTTCCCTAGCATGAAGTTAATGACAAGATAACTTTTACTTTCCTTCAAAGAAATGTTATCACATCCAAGGTACCAACAACCTCCCTCACCCCACCCCACCATCTTTAACAGATTTACCATGTACCGGTACTTAGAATATCATTTTTGCTTGAGTGTAAAACAGAGTTGAAGCCAGTTCAAGGACTACTTATGTCAACCTTAGTGGCCCAAGATCTCTGAAAAATATGTAAGAACATATTAAAGTAAGTAACTAAATATTCCCCACGGTGAATTCAAAAGGTGTAGATCATCATGCCACAAGTCTAAAAATCAAACGAGCCTACATTCCCCACCCTTCACCCTCCCCAAGCTGTTCTCATATAAAAGGCATATTCACAACAACATTCTCTGATTGATTGATTGATTGATTGATTGTACATTCCACGTACCTAACTGCAACCTAATTTTGGCATTTTGGTGCAGGGTTTTTTTTTTGTGGAATTTAAATGGGCAAATACAAAAAAGGCATTAGATTTTGTGACTCAAGGGTTCTCAACTCCTCTTAATTTTTCAAAATGTCAACTTTTGATGACTGCATAAAACATACTCTAAGGAATTTGTAAGAATCTAGCCATTCAAATGAAAATGATGGCTACATTTTCTACTTTATATGCAAAATCTTTGCAAATTAATGTCACTTCACAACAGAATATACAAATAGAACTAACTTAATAACTTGTGTATTTGTTGATAGCTATCCTATATGTTTTTTTCTTATATTACACGCTGATCATTTTTATCTGTAATTTGAAGTCTATATGTGAGATTAAAATTTGCGGGTTTAAATTAAATTTCGGGATCATTTTGGTTTGCCAGTTTTAAATTTTGTGATTTTTTTTCAGTTGCAAAATTTGCAAAATTAAAAACCCACAAAATTATCAACAAGGTAATTGATTCCACTGATTTGACAACTGTAGGAAACCCTTGAAAAAAACCACTGATGGACTGTATTTCAACATCTTTAAAAATCACAAATTAATTATTAAATGCTAATTTCTTCCAACACTTGACTGACATATTCAGAAGAAACAGTTGTCATCTCTTCTTAAACTGAAATCCACCCTTCTGTCTTTGCTGTGTTTGTGAAGGACTGGGTGGCGTAACTCTTGGACGTTTGAGATCCATTGCTTTGGAGAGTATTGTGTGAATGTCAATATCTGGATAATTCTTAAAACAAGTAAAAAAAGAAGTTTAAATTACTGCAAAGTGAAATTTAACCACTAGCATAAAGGTTGTCATGGTGATTCAACTGTGAGTCAAACTGTTAGACTCTGGACAATTAGTAATTAACACCACCAAAAGTTGATAACAGAGAACTTCTACCAGGAGACACAGTGCTATCTAATGAACACTGCAATATCAGAATTAATCTGGTGGGTAGCTTTGACGGTTGGTTAAAAGACAAGAACAGTGGAATTTATATTTTTTTTGTTATTTATTTATTAGTATTTTTTAATACCTGCAGAAGTTTCATAGTTGTAGCAAAATCACCAGCCAGAAGTTGATCCCTTATCACCCTAAAAAAAGTATACACTCATGTTAGTCCTACTCACTTCTTTTAAAATGCACTCAAGATAATGCACACAAGTTACAAAAGTTATAGTAACATCATCTGTAAGAATTAACATTGTTTACTTAATTTACTCACATGTGCATTGCACAGCACACATAAATCAGGAAATCAAAACGTTTCTCGTCAGCAAAAAGAGAATCCCACACCCTGATGACATCTGTAATGCAGTTAAACAAAGTAACTTAATTTCAATTGATAATCAGCATATATTGGCACATTTCAGCATAACCTGTAAACAAGTTAAGTGAAAGACAATAAATGTTGAGGTTTCAGACTATTTTTTCTGACTTGAATGTCAAAGGTTACACTTCCTTTATGTGAATGACTAGTTCTGTCATGTTGCACAAGTTTTGTTCAATATATAACCACCAAAAATCCCCAAAATTCACAACCCACATATAGAGTTTACTTGAAGACACTTAGGGAGGTCTCCAGGAGGGACAGTTCCTAGAAGCAAAAATTTGTTAGATTTTATTTCTTGTACCTGGGAGGGCAAATTCCTGAGATAACAGCAATGTTAACCACCTGAAGCTGTAAAACTGTGGCCTCATCTGTTGCTCTTCCTGCAATAGATGTATACTTCATAAAAATCACTTAAACCTTCACTAACAGTGCCTTATAGAACATGGAAACCCCTAATCATGGTGGAAGTAGATCATTTCCAAATTTTCCTCCCACTTTCATTGTAAATGAACCTGTCTTCAGCAGACATCTCTATTGTGCTATGTTAAGTCTGTACTACCTCTAGAAAGTTTCATGAGGGATTTGAGTTTCATTTATAATCTAGCATGGTTTTATATTACATTGTTCACTTTTATTTGCTAACTGTTGTAATTAAGCATTATAATTCTAGTTGAACTAAATAGCAAGATGCAAAGAAAACATGTCCAGAAGTTTCACTGTATAGAAAATATTCTCACAACAAAGAGGAGGAAAAGTTGATGCAGTTTAACATTTCACTTCTAAATACAGTCCTGTCATTCATTATGATCTGGTAGGGCCACCCTTAGTTCAGCAGACCCACACCCCAGTCTGCCAACTTCTGAGTGAGAGTAAATTTCAAGTTATCATAAAGAATTTGTTCTTGAAATCACAACACTTGGAGGAAGTAAGTAATGGCTGAAAACACAAAGAAATGACATTTCCTACAAAAGCTGTTTCACTGCATTGTGAGTTTAAAAAAGAGGTGTGTTTGAAGGTCTATGCTTGAATATCCTATACTTTGAAGCATAGAAACAGCAAAATATATTTTGTAACAAAGAAAGGTGCTAGTTTTAACATAACTAAAATATCCCCTATTTCATTTTTTTATGTTAAAGAACTAACTCCTGTGATCAGTGGACAAATTTATTAAGTTATAATTACCAGGTATCTGTACAATATGATGTCTCTCTCTTTCAACATGCTTCGAACACTTTTCATCAAGTTTCCTGAAAGGTGGCAGGAATATACACTTTCTCAATTTAAGATAAAATGGAGATAAATTGGAAAAAATCTCTGAAAATACTATTTCAGTATGGATAAATGCTTGTTGCCAACATGTAACAGGCTACTAAACTCACCTATACCACAAGCTGAATCATCCAGAGTCTTGATAAAGTTATCTCGAATCTCTGACATCAGATTCGTAAAGCAGAAGAATGCATCTGCTTCTACATTTTCTGTAAAATGAAAATGCAGAGACAAATAATCTATTAACAACAGTCAACGGCTTAATCATGATTTACTGGTACAGTCAGTAACACATGACTACGATGACATAAACTAATAAATCACTTTGACCATTTATTTTCAATCAACTAGTGCCATTAATTTTTGTATGTGGTGTATCTAGTATAAAGAAAAGAAGGTTGCCAAAAGATTGAAAGTCAAAAGTCAATTATTGACAAACCTTGCCATTCTGGGTTGGGATCAGAACAGAAAACATAGTACAGTGGTCCAATTATTTCATTCATACCCTGGGAAAAAGCATAATCCACAACAGCAAATAAACGTTACTTAATAAAAGAACAGGTCCTCATTGTACATTGGGAGTTAATTAATTCTCTAGCCTAATTTCAATGACCTGAACTCTTTCTTATTCAGGCATGAAGAATATTCTGCTCTTACTTCATTCTTTCCTCCTTATACCATATTTCTTTATGAAAACTCTGTTGTAAATAGCCAACTACTAGACTGTAATTGGTCAAAGATTACTTATAGTAGAAGTTGTCAACGAGTTCAGAGGCTTACATTGAACACCGTAAACACTGGGATATTTTTACTTCTCTAATCATTATCAGAAAGAAGCATCTGTTATCATTATGTTTTAATTAATATAGTGTCAAATGTTGTGAAACATTTTCTCACCTGAACATAACCCAACCCAGGATTAAGTTTTGCATAGACATATAATATTCTCTCTACAACCTGAAATTTATAACCATACACCATTAATATGATATCATAATACTTCACTTGAATTGATTTCATTAAACTGTAAATCCTTTTGTAAGAATTGTTGCACATGCAATTGCCCAGAAAAAAGAGCATGTGCTGAATATTGCCATAGAATGACCTATTTTATGAGACTCAAAAAAAAGTTATGATAGTAAGAATAATGGAACGCAAATTATTTCTTTCTCAGAAGGTGTTTTTGTCATGAGTTTAGGAAGAGAAAAATCTAACAAGTCACTGGTGAGCTAGCCAGGCTTAGTGCATTCTGCTGGGAAAGTTTACCCTTGCAAGTAAATTTAGAGAGATGGTAAATTTTGACCTTGGTTGTCAAATTAAGGTAGATGTTAAACTTTATTCCACAAGGCCAAGGCAAAGAAAAGACATTTTTTTGGCTCAGTTAGTGAGGCATCCTGCTTCAAAATTGGAAGGTTGGAGCTTCAAATCAATGCCGAAGACTGTGATTGTGATTTTTTTTCCTTGGAATCCTACTCAAGACAACTTTTAAAGGTTTTTATGCAATTTAATCAAACTAAATATATATCTTTTTTTATCAGTAACCTTATTATAACTACCACACTTTTGGAGAACTTAAAACATAAAATTCAGCACAAACACGAAGAATACATAAAACTTAATTATCAAGTGCAGGTGTCCTACAGTTACACAGAGCAGAGTTTCGGTTGATCGATACCAACCTTTGAATCTCAACAATACAAAAAAATGGAGTCTTAAAAATACATCATTGTGACATGTATGAAGAAGAACAGTTTGACTAAATTAAAAATGAAGTTCAGTGAAAATAACTCAAGAAACCATCCACAACTGTACATTTGAATGAGCCAAGTGAGCTGGCAATTATCAGTAACAATGTGGGACACAGGCTTAAAGAAAAGAGCTCCCTTACCTCCCAATGTGCTTCTTCTCCATCTCCAAGAACAAAATATTCCTCTGGGGCTATTTTCCTTGGTGCAGATAACTTAAAACAAGAAAATATACCATCTTTGAAGCAATATTTCAATATAACTGTGGAATCAATATCTAAATTTATCTTAACTCAAAGTAGCAAATAGATCCTGTGTTGTCATGCATCTGTTCAGTAAAAAATCATAATTACATGACATCAAAATGTGGCAAGAACAAAAAAAAACCACACAAGTTGCAGCAGACTCAAAAGATTACCGGAGGATGTAATTTGTTATTTTAGAAATGTAAACTATTTCAGAAGGGATAGTACAATCATATTGAATCCTCATTTATTAATTAAAAATAACTTCTTTGGTAGGCAATAAGAAATTGGTGGTGAAAGGATCATTTAAAAATTAAAGTACATGGCATCAAAGTTTAAATCTTATCGCAGAAAATTATGAATTTTGAATGCTTATATCACCCATCATGTAATAAAACCTGGCCTGTTTCTTCTTACGTTTTTGAGTCCACTTCTGTTGGTATTAACATGAGATGCCTCTAGATGGGTCCGCAAGACACGCTCCCTCAGGGTTTCAAAATCTCTGTCTTCTCCTAATTTATCAGGATATTATATATTGTTGATCAAATAGTATCTTTTACAAATAAAAGCAAATTTATAGCGACTGAAATGTCCCAACCTATATCATTGTGTAGAAAGCAATTAATTAATTCTGGAAGTGCACAAATAAATTCAAAACTAAATTCTAGCAATAGTCTGTATAGATTATATTTCAGTCAATGTTGTATTAAAACATTTTTTTTTCATGTATTTCTTTGTTTTCTTCAACTGACTGTCAAATATGTGAATTTTCATATATCTAAAATCTTCATTCACTTGGATGTTTATTTGGACCCAATTTATTGACCAGCTCCCAGTTGGCTTATTAGCTCAATTGGTAGAGCGCTGCACCAGTATCGCAGAGGTCATGGGTTCAAATCCCGTACGGGCCTGAAATTTTTTCCAGGTCCTATTTACAACTACTCGTTTCAGTAGTGTTCTTAGCTGCAAGGATCTCCTAATTTCATGACTGTCAATAGCTTACACCTGGAGGTTTCAGTCCTTCTGACATCACAGCAGAACTGACCAATCAATTTTGAAAACCATAATTCAACATTTGACCTAGAAAGTACTCTTCTATAGATATCAAGGACTTCTCTAAAACTACTCAATCATTTTTTGTTTGCTTTGTGCTGACAGCCTTCCTCTTATTGCCTTATGTTTGATTGTTTCTTTGTTTCTTTGCCCATGTTTTTAGAAATATGCTGGATTAAACCCTTTAAAGTTAAAAAAGGCTCTCTCTTACCAGTTGTGACTTTCTTGTTAGGATACTTTGTTGCTATTTGAAAAAAGGAAATATCTGGACACAGCCTCCTGTAACAACAGTGATGAAAAAAAAAATAAAGGGATCACTCAAAGAGTAAACAAACCAGTGTCCCTATCACCATAGCTGGTTTAAATGCAACTCACAAGCTCCATCCCTATACTTACTTTCCTAGGAAAAAAAATCTGTCAACTGAGAACTTTTAAATCAATGCTGTGAGTATTGCATATTGTTATTAAAACAGTCAATTTGCCCTTTGGCTGACAATACTCAGAGCATTGTTACAGTTTAGCTCTAAGATGTTTTTCCCTTGTATTTTCACCAATTGTATCTCTAACGAGACATACTAGTAACATGACTGTAATCATTCAGTAATCAATGGATGGTTTATAAATTATAACCAATTAATGTTTCACAAACATTTTAGACATTGATGAGTCACTAATATTATCAGTTAGATATTAGGATTGTTGAATGTTCTGAAATCTAGGAAAAATAAAATAAATCATTAACTTATTTGAACTAATCTCAGCAACAGAACTCCACTTCATGAACTGGTTCATTTGCAGCACTTTTGATTGCCCCTTCCTTACCTCATATCAATTTATTATAGTCATGCCTACCTCGACAAAAGGAGACACATATTTGCAGCAGAGCTCAACAAAGTTCACCTAATACCTTTATAAAGTGATAAATGCCATATGAGATTCAGGATGAACTAATTCATACCTTCTGGACCAGACTGGTTTAACATTACCCTCTACTTTGATAGAAGTTTCTGTTCCAATTAAAATGATTAATATATATACTATATTACATATAGCCCCTTGGACTCTCCAAATTTATAGCACACCAGCCAATTGCAGATAATTTGAGCTAAAATTTCTTTACCAGTTAATCACGACCTTGTTTTTTTTCTGATCAATTAGTGCTTGAAAAAATTTTTAAAATACCTGCAATCCTTATCAATTTGCAATAGCACTTCATTGTCTTTAAAAAAGGCAAGCCACTGACTGTCAGGATTTGGATTCAAAGGCTACAAATTAAAACAAAAACATCCTCAATCATAACCATTACAATTTCCACAAATGTGAATGGTGCACTAACCCCTTAATTTTTCACTAATTAATTTGTAGAGTAGTAATCGGACAGTGTAATTGTAAAGTTGGCTGTAATCGGACAGTTGAAGCAGCCAACTTAGGCCACTCGGCTAAATCTGCCAATCACAGAACTGATCACAATAACCAAAGCAACAACCACTTATCTTCAGAAAAACTGGGGAATTTCCAAAATGGAGGAACTTTTAAATTTAGACATTGTTTCCCCTGGAGAAATTTGTTCAAAGGTTTTTTTTTCAGAAATTGTAATGGTTATGATTAGTTGGTCACAGGACTATGTCTCGTCCAATTCTGTCTGTTATCATACTCATGATTAACAAATTGGACTCCCACTTTGTGGTTTCCTGATTTTGTTAATCACTTGTAGAACTTAACACAGAATTAGATGGCACAAAGTCCTGTTTCCATTATTAACAAATGAAGTGAATAGTGTGAGTCAGTCAGCTGGTGTGCAAACATCTTGAATTGCACATTGAATGATCAACAAATCAGACAAGAAGTTTTTCTCAACCACATAAGGTGATCAGTTCTGTGTATGTACTATGTGTGAGACTGGTAACAAGAAACATAGCAACCATGCAAGTCACTTAAAAATGTCTACTCAACCTCATTTTAAAACTGCTGGCGAATTTTTTCAAAACATGGATAAGTCTCCATTTTGAAAACTTTTTCAAGAGTTCCTCCTGAGTATATATCACAAAAAAGAGTCAGTGATCGGTTTTCCCAGCCATTTGATATTTCTGGGAAACCTGTGTCTGTGTGACTGACTATCTGGATGACTGTGGAACAGCACTGTTCTGACTGTGGGGACTTAGATCTTGGAACTTAGCAAATAATATGTATCATGTTCAGATTCACTCTGGACAGATATTATTGATAAAGCAAGTGATCAAATGAAAAAAAACCCCAATTAATTTTCATGAATTTTACACAGAACTTGAACACACTGATCAGTGAGTTTTCAAGATAATAAGATTAAAATTTTCATGTTTCATCAAATGTGGCAGCATAAACACCATTATCATTATTATGCTCATTAGCAACAAAAGAGACATACACAATGTCAAACCAGAAGGAAAAACAACTAAAAAAATTCACTGAACTACAGAGCTCTAGTTCATATGTAGTTCAAGTTCAAGTTCAAGTTGTAGGTCTAGTTCATATACACGTCCCTTTCCTAATCATGATCATTATGTTTTTCATCATCATCATGTTTTTTGAGGGGTGTGGGAGGGGAAGAGTTTTATAAAAGGCTTCTCCTTTACAGGGATAGTATGGTATAAAAAAAGGATTCTATTGCTTAAAGAATATAATTTCAGCTAGGTCTCTTACATGATCAACATCAAATTCCTTGGAATCTTTTCCAGACTTAGTTCCTTTACATTGTTCAATGATAATTTCTTCAACAAACTGTTTGTAAGTGGATCTGAAAATAAAATTGTTTATCAGAATGAGCTAAAGGATTTAGGCCAGGTTATTCAAAAAACATGATTAATCTGACCCAGGGTTAGTGTAAATTTATTTAGTTTAAAAGCTTTGCAAGGGCATTTTTCTTTTGTAATCTTTTTCTGTTAGTTTCTAATGTCATATTGAGATAAACCTCAACAAATCTTACATGTAGCTCTTGAACATGCTCTTCTACATGAGAAATTAGAGCCAAGTTTGACTTTAAATCCTAGATTACCAGTAGCCCCCTTTCCAACAACCTGGCCCAGCTGTATAACAAACATGTAAGTAGATAGTCTGACAAGGACTTGACATATCTCAATCTAGGAAAAAGTACTTTATGCTACATTCCTGTCCATAGAGATTTCATTCATAATACTATTGGTAACAAAATAGCCAGCTAACCTCTGTCTTTTGAGTGTCTCAGGCCAGAGATCCTTTTCCGGAGGAAGGTAACCTAAAAGGAGCTTCAATGGTAAAACAAAACATTGAAATTTCAATTCATTTACTAAAGCACTTGATAAGCATATTTCACAATTAGTTGTCAGGCCAAAAAAATTCTAAGGTGCTGTAAAATTCTAATAGTAAAATTTCAACATGGCACAGGGAAAAAAAAATCTCCAATCATCAGCCTGTCCCAGCTATCTATGCTTTGATCTTGGAAGAATGGAACATCAAAAGTACTTGTCCCACTGGAAAATAACAATTTAGGGGACAATTTTTTCAACTGAGTTCTGGGTTGCCCAGGCATCTCTTGATGTTGTAAACTAAACTGGTTTTCCACAACTCTCTGTTTCTTTTTGCTTTAAATTAAAGTCAAACACAAACATAATTACTATGTAGCTTAAGAGCACTGGAGAGTGACACTTGTGATCACACTTCCATGTGAATCACAAAAACTGCATGAAATAAACTCAGTTCACATGCTTCATTTCACCATCAGTGTACTCATTTCACTGTCAGTGTACTCAATGTTAGCAAGTTTACTTGACCTACCAAATGTCAGCAGTAAAAGAGAATCTGAACCCCCAAAGATACAAAAACAGCAGTGAAAAAGTAAAAAGATATGAAGGTCGAACTCAGAAATTCTTGCTGCCATGGAAAAAGGACTTCCCTGCATTGAAATGTTCTGTGCTGTGTGCTGAAAATATCCAACAACAGCATAACTGGAGTTGGTCAATAACTTGTACTGTCCTTGTTGTATGTTATATATTCACAAATACTGACTTTTTTCACTTAGTTGAGAAGAAGAACTATAGAATTCAAAAGAATTCCTTTGAAATTTTTACATCACCTTAGAATGTAGCTTCTAAATATCCATCTCACATCTTATTATTACATTGCAATTATAACACCTCAAAGATATGGAACATTGTCAAGTCTTATCGCACATGAAGCATGTGAAAGAATCGTGGTCTGTTTGTTGAATATAGTGTTAAAATGTGCATGGTTTCACCTTTAAGAGGTGACACTCTCATTAGAGGTGAAAGTTAAAGTACTTAAAGGTGAATCAATCTTGGGACTTAGACAACTACCCCTTAAAACAGGATGACTACTTAATATGGTGCCACTTATTGTAGCTTCAAGTAGGTTCAACTGTAACAAAGGAAAGTGCATTGCAAGCTATGAGTTCTTCAAAGTTGAACTCCCAGTATCCATCTTCCTTATGGCATGCTTCTTGGGTTCCTCTTCTCCACTTTTCAATTTCATGTCCAAGTTCAGTAACTCGTAATATACAGACCAATAAAAAGAAGGAAATAAAGTAAGAGTAGTCTCCCTATAAAAACATTATCTAACCCTAACCCTAACCCTAATGCAATAAGGCCATCGAAAAGCTGATGGTTGAGAATATGAATAATTTGTACTGCCAAAGGTTTCCAAGGTAATCCACAAATTGTTAGAATAGCTGATGAGTTGATCGAAGCCACGCAAATTTCGCGTGAGTCCATCATCAAACTTCGCTGCTCACCTTCCAACACACCGATCGAATTCCAGATCCATCAGGAATTCCTGCAAAATAGAGATAGGAGATTGACACATCTAATCAGGATAAGTTACAGATAATGTGATGTGACCACAACACTCATCATGATAAATAGGAATTATTCACAACAGACCGCTAAAGCAAAGTCTTCGGAGATGTTTAAGATCAATCTCTTTCGCAGCGAGAGCGGACTTGAACTCAGACAACCTTAAATGTGACAAAAATAAATGTCGCTCATTTAATCAACATGATTTTTTGGAAATGAAACAAACTTAGAAGAGATTCCGAAATCACCTCTGCTTGAACGCCATTTTGAATTTGAGCCCGCGAATATTTCGATAATAAAATGCCACTCAAGTTCATTCAAGTATCCAATCAAAGCCATTCTTAAGTTTATTAATCAGCCAATCAAAAAGAGAGCCATGTGAACACGTGCTACTCTTGAAGAAGAAGCGTGTCTCTCCCTTCCGTATCTCTCTCACACAACCTACTTCTCTTGAAAGTGTCGATATACTATTTCCTCTATTAGCTCCTATAACAAGACATTAGCTCTTTCGAAAAGGGAAACGAAAACATGGCGAATGATCAGGCCAACGAAGATCCATTGAAGAAGGTGTTTGTTGGTGGTTTGGACAGGTCCACATCAGATGAAGCTTTAAAGACGTATTTTGAGTCTTACGGAGAAATGACAGACTGCGTGGTAATACGCGATGGAGGCAAGGCTTCTAGAGGATTCGGCTACGTGACTTTCGCCGAAAGAGAAAGCGTCTTAAAGGTCTTAGGAGAAAAACCCCATACGATCGATGGCAAAACTGTCGAAGTAAAGCGAGCTATTCCTAGAAATGAAGACAGCGCAACAGCTCATCATAGAACAAAGAAACTCTTTATTGGTGGATTGAAAGACGAGACGACCATGGAAGACATAAAGCAAGCCGTCGCCGAGTCAGCACGCGGAATTGCGCCAACCCTTGTGGACCTGATCATGAAGAAAGACGAGCCGCAAAAGCATCGTGGTTTCTGCTTCGTTGAATTTGAAGACGAGGATATAGTGGATGAACTTTGTTGCCTCAAAAGGATCACAATCTCCGGCAAACAAGTTGAAATCAAGAAAGCTCAACCTAAAGATGGTCAGGGGGCACGTTCGGGGGGTCGTGGTGGACGCGGAGGGGGTCGTGGATTTAGCCATCGTGATCGCAGTGGTGGTGGAGGTGGACAGTACACATACAATATGTATGGCGGTCATGGATACCAGCAATACTCTGATCCTAGTTATTACAGCGGCTATGATGGTTATGGATACGACAATGGTTACGGTAACATGGGTAACTACCAGCAAGCTCCTTCAAACTTTGGCTCACAGCACGGTGGATATGGAAGGGGTGGCGGTCCAAGACAACGGTACACACCATACTAGAAAAGGTAGGAACACTTTTTTTCTAATTTTCCCATGCTTGTGGTTTATTTTATGACATCTTTAGGTGAATGAATAGGATATTTTCTGAAAGCTAGCAGTGAATAGCACACGGGGGTATGTTTTATTAGCAGAAATAATGTTAACTGCCTACGAGTGTGCACGAGTGGGATGAAAAAATCGTTTAAAAGTACTGTTAAAGGTATTCATGCGCCCATAACGCAGGAGCATTGGAAGGGAATTCTACAGGTCCTCTTCTTGCTTAAGTTTACTTATTAAAAAGGTGACACCTTGCCTTGCGTGTCCTTTTATCACGCAGTCACGGGGATTGATAATTGGGCTAACCGTTGTTGTTCCAGTGAGTCTAAGCTTATTCTGTTTTGATACCTAGGTTTCGTTGCATTTGAAGTCTTAAGTCAACATAGCCAGACATAAGTTACATTAAGTCAGCCAGGACCTAGGCTACCAAGGATTCCCTGAAGAATTGCTGTCGCAGTCAATCTACCACTTAAGATGCAGTGTAGGCTTCCTCCTAATCACAGACCTCTTCGTGTAGACAGGACTCGACCAGTTGCAGTATTTTATTAGGAGTAGAATTTTATTACAAACTTACATTTTTAGATTAGTTTACATGTATACCCAAACCCTTGGCTGTTATTAAAGTTGGTTAGGTTAAGAATAAAGGTCTAAGTGCTATTCAGGAGTTGTTAGTTTTTTTTTTTGCAAAAGACTTGAGGAGCTTGTTTTTATTTGTTTTTTATTTATCTACTTTTGTGTTACAGTCATGGTTAACCTTTCTCTAGGTTAGCTTTTCATGGGATATTTTCTGGAAAAAAATCAAACTTCTACAAACGAGTTACAGGAGGTAACAATGAGAAATTTTCTACCAAATGCCCCACTTACATCTGTTTATTTTTTGTTTCCATCTCTGGCTAAATAATTTTGCCAATTTTATGTTATTTAATGACTCGCTGCTTTTAATCCATTTATGTCCAGCTTTTTTCTTTCTGGTGTTTTTGGGTTGGGTTAGTGTTGCTTGTTGAGGATAGCACTTTAATATAGAGAAAATGGTGATCAATCAAGCCCAGAATTTGGTTGCAATACCATGTTTGTACTTCTACACAAGAAACTATATTCACTATGTGTGATCACTTCCATTATGGGTGGAATATGTCAGGTATTAAACAAAGGTAGCACAAAGGTGACTATTGACCACTGCCAACATAGGAGGGTAGAAGAATAACTGGATTTTGCATTCTATTTGGACTAAGATTAACATTCTGGAGGTCCTGCAAAAAATCTGAGGAATATTGTAAAAGTTAAACATGAACCACAATCATTGTTGAAAACTGTAAAGTATGGTGATTTTAAGTTCTTCTTTCACTCACAATTATACTGTTGAGCAGACTATTTTCTTGTATTAGGTAACAATGAAATGTGTTAGATCTCTTTCCAAAACCAAAATAGAGTGACACAATGTCTTGAAGAGTTGGAACTTCAAAAGAAGGTGTAAAATATAAGTTTCAGAACGCTAAATTGTTTACCCTTGTTTTCAAAATCTAAGTGTTTATGGATGTTTGAGCGAATTTCCTTTTCCTAACTGAAAGTACAATTACAGCACTATAACTTATTAAAAATGTGTTCACATAACACCACAAACTAAAGTACAATACTCACAGAAATATTAATTAACCTGATCACTACATACTTTCAGTAGTACAGGATATACAAAAAAATATATCACAATATAGTACTATTTCATTTTAGTACCCGATGCACATCATACAACTAACTCACACTTTTTTACTAAGTGTCCAGTTGGTAACAAGGAGAAACACCCTTTGTTAGGATAAATGATTTTAGCAAAATTTACCATCAACCTTTTTTGCAGATTTCTTTTGATTTGGCTTGCCACTTTCTAATGGTAAACTGCAACAGCAAGTTTATCACTTGTTCCTGTAATCAACTTTGTATGTTTACATATCTGTCACTCTTGTGTGTGCCCTGCCTACCAACAATATTCAGTTCTCCTCTCAAGCTAGCACCCTTTGGAAAATAAATATTAAGTTGGAAAAGAATGAAGTTCAGTACATTGGACAATGATAATTCCTTAGGGCTTGGGTTGTAATATAAAATTGGAGTGCTATTTGAAGCTGAATACATACAGCATGATACATTGCACTTGTATTTCAGTAGAATATAAAGCTCCCCTAAACCAGTAAATTGTAAATTGTGCAAATTGTAGAAAATATTCATGATTGACAGGTATAAGAAATAAGGTCATATTAAAAAATTTATTTGAAAGGTGTGTTATAAAACATTTACAAGTTGAAAGAGTTTATTTAAAACTTATGACCCTATTTGAATGAATGATTGTGTGAAAAGGCTTCTGAAATTTGTGAGTTGAATAACATGTAAAAAGTATTTTTTTGAGGTTGTATCGGTCTTGGTAGCTGTGAATTGATATTTAATAGTTAGCTTTTAGAGGATGCTAATCATTTCTTGATGCACATTTCACATCACCATGGCACGTCATCCTGATGGTTTGCAGAAGATCCATTGTAATATTTTAGTCCACAGTCAAGCCAGTCCCATGAAGTATTTTTTTTGTGGGGCACACTGCTTGCTTGTGATGGCAATCCTTATAGTGCTCTTCCAAAATGAAAACTTTTTCTGAGTGCCAACTTCAAATGTGATTTCCAAACCCCTTACCTTCTGCCTGCGATAGCCAAACAGTTTTGGATGGGGCTTGGCTTTTTTTTGTCTGTGGTAAGGAAACCTGTCCCCATAATTTCTAGCTTCAGCAGACTCTATCCCTTGTTTCCCAAGCCACTCAGTTGTACGTAGGTTTTGTAGTTCATTTCACCCTCTTGAAGGTAAACTTAGTTTATAATCAACATTTACTGTAGCCTTATCTTTTTCCCATCTTAAAATTTTGTTTGGTTTGTTTGTATTATTTTAATGTCTGTTTTTTTTCTCTCAACCAGTGTATCTCGTGGTGCTGTACTTACTTACTTACATTGCACTGATGCAGCAACAAAGGGGAAGCAGAGTATGTTGTGCTTAAAATATGAATGCTACACTAGAAACAGCAATAGAGTGCAGACAACTCTGAGAGGTATGAAATGATAGCTATTTATTCCTATTACTTAACAATGCAGTGAATTTTTATATTTATTACATATTGTGTGATGATATGTCTAATTCATTATTTCAACACCACACTGACTTATCACCATGACCTAAATTGGTACATATCATAAACATCCATGTATAAGCTGCACTTTTTTTCACAAAATTGAAGCCAAAAATGAAGGGTGTGGCTTATCCATGGATACATCTGTGTTTGGAGTTCTCAAACACCTAATTAATATTCATAAAACTTCTTAAGATGCCAAGAAATAAACATAAAAGAAACTGAAAGCGTGTTGCTGTAGTTTATTGACTTTTTCATTAAGTGGTGGCTCCTAAGGGAGCTGTTTGTGTTTTCGAGTGTTTATTGTCAAATCTTGCTCTCCAAGATTCTTTCAAGCGATTAATTTTCGCTTTACTCAAACAATTAATGTGGGAAGAAGACTCCAATTCTGATCCATTTGCTGGCATAGATGAGGATGAGGATGTGGACTTGCTTTACGCCAATAGTTTTGAACAGTAACAAGCAAGAAATTGACCCAGAAAGCTATAAGAATCTCTTTGGAGATAGCGGTCGTGAGGACTTTCATGGCTTTAATGATAAACACTGACTTTATCAGATGTTCACATGAAGAACAGTAGCATCTTTTATAAATAACCTGAAGTATTATAATATTAATTAGTGAAATAGAAACTGAAATGATTGCATCAGTGTGCGTGCTTTCTGTTCATGCCCAGACGATGGCCGGGTCCTGGCCCAGACTCCTCCCAACATTTAAAGCTTGGCTACTAAGCACTTGTTTGTTTATAGTTTCTCGATGCTGAGGGAATTTCAACTTTATGGCATGTTTCGAAGTGATAATCTTGAAAAATCGGATCGAAAGAGCATTTTAAGTTAAAGATGGTGTAAATTCCAATGAAAAAGAAGGTACGACAAATGAAATTTCGCTTTCTTTAAGACTTTGATAAATGTGAAAGAAAGCCACAACTTCTATGTCAGTGTTTCGAAACCTTGATTATTTGTAGCAACACAACTCTACTGAAACTTCAAACTGTATTGTTCTTATTTTTTTCCAAATTCTGTGCTCCAAATCAGAGGTGTGGCTTGTCTATGGATGCAGCTTATACCGGACGTTTACGGTAGTTCAGAAATTAAATTCATCCAGTATTACCTGCAATTTTTGTACTATTTTTCTTCAACAGAATTCAACTAAGAAGATTACGAATTAAACCAGTGTAAAAACCTAGCCAACAAATGTCTGGGTAGGAGACAGTGAAAAGTGAAAATGGAGTAGCTTGGGTCCTGGCACAATATCCATCTCTGACAGAGAATTTTCACTGATGAATATCATTTACATTTACCCATTTAAGCTTTGGGAAAAATATATTAAATTCAAAAAGAAAGAAACAGCATGTGTGGTGTTCTTTATGTCTTCTTACAGAGTGCCCAATGGCAAGCCCAATCACCAACCACTCGCCCATTAATTTTCATGCAATTAAATTGGCCACTTTATATCACATGCAAAGTGACCAGACAGTTAGCAAGCAATAACCACTGTCTACATCAATATTTGCCCTCTGGTTATTTCTGTTGGAAAAGAAGCAAAAGGAACCCCAAGCATTTCACCTTTTCATCTTTATTACATGGAAGAAGGACAAACTCATTTTTTGGTCTAGTGATAGTGACATTAAAAAGATGATCTCAAATGCTTCTCCAGAAAGTTCCAAAAAGTCAACAAAATTTGCTGTTAAGGAGAGTTTTAAAATTTGAGAGGAGGGTTATAATTAAATAGAGCCCCTTCTGGCTTGCTGCTGTGTCAGCTGATAAAGCCCTTGACTCAGAGATTTTCTCAAATTCTCGCATTTGCCCTCAAAGCTTTGTTTCTCAGCCAATTATTCTTATCTCTTAGTTAGGGACCCTATCAGCTGACGTACCGCGCGCCAGAAGGGATAAATTTACTTAACAGACCTCGATTTCATGTGATTCCACTTGGCGAATTTTCTCTTGCAACATGTTCCTTGTCCAAAAAGTCAGGTAGTTCAGACAGTTTTGCCAACATTCTGTAATTTTTCAGTTTTCTGATTATTTCCAATTAGCTCAAACATTTTGATTAATAAAGGTATTCGATTTGAACTTATGTGGTTAGGACTGAACCAAGTTTCAAAGACCATATTAGAGAATGTCACTTGTAATTTACAATCCTTGAACTTGAAAACAATCCGAAGATTCATTAAAATTATCACTTACTCCGAAGCGCTCAGAGTTTACAGGGGTTCAAAGGCTTTTTCTGTTATGGCGTGAGATTGGGGACAAAATCGATCATTACATTTCGTATCGTGTGTTTTTTCCGTGTGAAGCAACAGAAGGTGCCGGCGACTGACTGAAATGCAAATACGAACACTTTAAATTAAGAAACGTACCTCTACCACAGCTTTTACAAAAGTTTGCATCTTCGTTATCTCGCAAATAAAAACCGCTGACCAATTCGTTTTCTTTGTTTTGCCGTGAGTAAATTTTGTTTTGCCTTGAGTTAATTTTGTTTTGCCGTGAGTAAAGTTTATAGTGCCGTGATTTTTTGTTTTGCCGTGACCGTTGTGGGCCACTGCAGGTTGTGGGCCATCGTACTGTTCTATATTTTCATTTGCAGCAATATTTTTGTTCGCGGTCATAATTTTAATTTGCACGCGTGACCCTTCTGGGCCACCGTAGGCCACCGTAGGCAACCGTCACCGGACGATCGTGCGATCAGCTCGAGCTGTTTCCAATTTCTCACACGATCAAAAATTTAGTAGATCACGTGGACTAAGGCCTGGTCGCTTAGCTAGAGAATTTATATTCCCACGGATTCGCGCCAATGGTAGTCGAGATGTTTTCTGCTGTTGCAGTGTATGGTTTCGAATACCTTCGGAAACCTTGAACAGGGTGAAAGGGATCTAAACCGCTCTTTAATTCGTTCCCAGGAGAGGTAAGCATTTGATGAGTATCTGCAGTTGAGTGGTTCCGGGGAACCAACAAGACTTGGGTAACTGAAATTGGATTTGACTGTACATAGATAGCTTGTAAATATGTAGCGCATGTTGTCTTCCTACTTAGTTTAGCGATGATCGATTCATTTTACAGCCACTGTAGGGAGCACGAGCCAACGACGGAACTCGCAAGTTGGTCAGGTAGTTGACCGTGCGATAGACATGATGCAATACAACTGCCCCTCATTCAGCCGAAATGATTCGCCTTCATTCCGAACTAGATTATGCCGATCAACACCACATTCTGCTTTCCCCAAATACATTTACTGGCAGGGCCTTCGTCTTTTAGAAATACTCTCCCAAAAGCAGTTTGTAAAACGGTTGTCCTCCTGGAAAAGGCTCTGTCTTCAAAGAATACCTGTGGCCTATGATCAGATAATCTGTTTTGCTGGAGTCGGTTTCCTATCAGACGGCGACGAACAACCTTTTCGTGGCTCAATAGTGATTGAAATTACTGGCAAAATGTTACCAGGTGGCATCGAATTTGTTAAACTTTATAACGAGAAAGTCACCTCACCCCTCGTAACTGTTGGCTATAATTGGGACGTTAACCATGTCAAAACCTGTTTGGTTAAGGTCACGTGTATGTCTGGTAGGCAGGAAAAGTTTGAGGGCACCAGACCAAGACAAGCGCAGTGACAATCCCAATGGATTCAAAGCTCTCTCAGAGTGGCAAATAACCACCACTGGAGAGGTAGAGGCCAACCCCTTGAAGCCCAACAGTTTGAGTGATAGTTTTACAATAAGGTAATTACCCTACTTCAGTTTGCTAGTACAGCTTCAACATGAACATGTTATCTGTTTTCTGTGTTACATACATACATACTTTACTTGATAAAGCAGGTTGTAAAATGGCAGCAAAATGCTGATGTGGACCTGCTATATAACAGCATAAAAGTAAAAAAAAATATGTAAAAAGTAAATCTAAACCACAACGCAGACACAGGATTGGGCTTCTGGCAGTCTTTATTGCAAAGTGTTACTGACAAACATATAACCTTTATTGACTTATACAATTAAAATCCTTTAAAATACAATAGAAATCAACTAGGTAAACTCACCACAATAACACCAAAAAAAAAAAGACAAAAAAACTAAAACACTAGGCTGTTCAGGAAGTGGGTGGGTGGGCAAATAATAATAATAAGGGAATTATTCCCTATAGATGCTATATATTAACTGCTTGGAACGCTGTAGCAATGCCTATCAAACAGTCCAGGAAAAGTAGTCAGTAATACCTAAGTACCCCAATGGTGTTGCAACTTCAGGTAACTGAATGGTTCTTAAAGTCCTATGACTATCAGCATATGAGAAAGTCATATTCATATGACTGTACAGTATTGCTTAAGCTTGAATAAACTAGAAGCCAGTCTCCACTCTCTTTGAATGCTCACACTGTAGTCTAGATTTATATTAATAACCAGTTATCAATATCCACATGAAAATTTCAAGATAGTATAGCAATAATGATGATGAAAAATAAGAGAAAGAAATTTCAAACATTATTATTTTATACTAACATCAAAAATATATAAAAGCATTTGTGTTGTTGGTTGCTGTTGAATTGGTACCAAATGAAATTTGGTCAACAGTCTTTGATTAGGTTTGCTTTGAAAGATGGATAGCTTGCCACTGATTTCAACTGGGTTGATAGATAGTTCTAAACAATGCTAGCATGGTGAACAAAAGAATTATGAAGTACTTTAGAATTAGAGTGAAAAAGTTCAAACTTAAGGTTGTCCCTCGGATTGTAGTTTGTTCTGTGTTTAGAGAATAATTTTGTGATACCAGTGGGTGTTTGTTTGTAGCAATGTAAGCTAGTCTTTTCTGTGTTTACCTGCAACAATTCAGCATTCCAAAGCAAAGCAGCATAAGTCACCTAAAATGGTACTTGAATTAATGTGTAGGTAAAAGATAAGGGCAGGTTGTATTAAGGCTGATCGCTATCAACATCCTGTCCTAAATTCTGTAATGTAAAACCTGCACGATTTGCTGTGTTAAGCAAAATTCTATTATTAAGATAGCAAAATTGAAATTGAATAAACTGAAAAGAATCTGTAAATGGACTTCACACTTCAAACTAAATCAACACTTAGGCTGCTGTTATGCATACAATTATGTAAATGTGTATTAGTTTGAAGGATTCTTTATAGTTTTCACATTTTCTAGTAAAAAGTATACTCAAGTTTCTGAAAGAAAGCTGAACTTGAGGTTTTTTTACATCAACAGGTGATTCACTAACATCAAAATACATAGATTTACTGATAAAATTATGAGCAATTCACTCTAGGGGAAACAGACTACCTCACTCAAATTGAAAACCCTGTGCTTTTGAAACTCAATATTTTCGACTGTGACTATGATACCTGGGATCATCAGGGCATCTGAATGGAGCAATTCTTATTTTTCAGAGTCATTTCCGATGAGGCAATTGTTAACTATGTGCAAGGTATATTTGTTGACAGTGGGTTTTCAAGAAGTTTAGGGTGTTTAATTAACCCCTTCACTGCCAGCCTCCATGTTATCCCCTGTGCCAAGCCTATTTTCCTCTTTTTGAGGTAAAGTTGCCTCAAATCAAATGTAATTAACTCTCTAACAATAGAACCAGACCAAGAAAAGTATACATTTTCTGAAACTGCACTAAAAATTTTATTTTGAGCTTGTATGGTTATTGATTTTTGAAATTTGATACCTGATGATGTCATCTGAATATAAAATTAGCATAAATTGGCACTCTTTGTGCACTCCTTTCTGGCATCTCTTCTGAGGTTTTTGTTTAGAGGCTTTTACTGGAATGGGTGACACAAAGTGATGCTCAGTAAGTCGTGTGATGTTCTCCTCCCTGGGAATCTCCATGTCAGCACCATTTCCATTTTCAAAGAGAAGTGCTGCAATCACTTCATGTTGAAATCTCAGGAATTGTTTTTGATGACCACCCTTCTGATAAACAATGAAGCTGTTGAACATGGAAAGCTGCATAAAGTGGATGGCCACCTTCATGTACCACTTCAGTGTTTTGCGAAGCACCTCATAGGGTTTTAGCAGCTGGTCAGTGCAGTCGATGCCACCCATGTATTTATTGTAGTCAGCAATACAGGTTGCTCATCTCTTCTCAATTGTGCACTCTTCACTTACTCTGGAAACCCCATCCTGTTGCTTCCGATTGTTCCACAAGCTAAAGTTCCTTGGTGGTGAAGGTACTTGTACAGTGGCAAGCTTGTGTAACAGTTGTCAGTGTACAAATGATATCCTTTCTACAGCAATGGTTGCATGAGGTCAATGACGACACTCCCAGAAAGAGAAAGCTCTTGTGCTCTGGGGGCTACATTTTCTTTCCACATATAAATCTTGAAAGAAAATGTGTAACCGCTATCCTTACACACAATGATTTCACACCAAATCTAGCTCTTTTTAGGGGAATGTATTGCTTGAATCCCAATCTCCCCTCTACAATAGCAGGGACTCATCAATTGAAATATTATGGGCTGGAACATATACTTCCTGAAACTTCTTAAAGAGATGATCTGATAAAGGTTGCAGCTTGAACAGTTTATTAGGAGATGGATCATTAGGCGCAGGCATATTGGAGTTGTCACTGAATGTAGAAATTTCAGAAGCAACCGGAAAAGATTTCTGCCCATGATAGCACTGAAAATGGGGGTACAAAACAATGGGTCCTTGGATCAATAAATGTCTATAGCAGGCTTATGAATAATCCTCATTAAAAAAAACAAACCCAAGAAATTTTTTCATTTCTGTCCTGTCAGTTGAGGACCAATCATTTGCACGGGATCTTCTTCTAAGATTGCCCTCAGCTATAAATTCGTCTGCATAGCGATTAGTTTGTGCTACAAAACAAATGAGCAAGTCATCATTGATGAATAGGGCAAAGTATTCTTGTGGTTCAAACCCTACTGTCTGTACTTGTACACCGGAATTTCCTATGAATGGAATATCACGTGATGTTGTTCCATGGACCATTTGCCAAACAAGGGGAGCTTGTTTTTGCCTTGCTGGTCTTTGCCTTACACGGTTCACACGAGTCCTACCATCTCCTTCATCAGAAGCTTCATTGTCATTGCTTTCTGCAGAATCCTGAGGAATATTGTCTTAGATGAAGACGCATCTTAAGACTACTTTATCAGGTAACCGGTAATAAAGTTATGACGAACTGGAGTGTTGACTGTTTTTAATGTTTATTAATATTTAGTCAACTGAAACCCAGAATGATAATTAAGTTAAGAAGCAAATAGTTTCAAGACTCAACATTTGTGTCAATTTTTCCCGTAAATAATGTAAAGCACTGATGAACATTAAAATTTACATCTGATTCTGTACAATTTCTCTGTTTTCGCATTGTTTTACAAATCAAATATCTGATCTTCAAACACCCTTTCAATTATTACGTAGAGAACATAACTGCTCTCTGGCACAGAAGAAGTGAAGTAATCTAATGTGAGAGCATATTACTTAAAACACGGGTTTGTGTTGGACAAAAATCAACGACTTTGAAAGCTAAAGGTAGCTTAAGTGACAAATGTTTCTTTGCATATTAAACTTCAGTGTCGCTCATGCTGTCCCATGCACTGTCACTGTCTGAATCCGAGTCCCGGTCAGGCAAGAAGAAGGCCTTCTTTGCCTAGTGCACTTCCCTTTGCAGTTGTTCTTCAGCAAGTTTCAATTGCTCTGCATTCAATGGGGCAGCAGGAGAATCGCACTAGGTGCCTTGGTGAACCAAAACAGGTTTCAGGGTAGCTGCTGAGGTGGTATCTTTGTTAGTGGCGATAGGAGGCCTCTGTAATCTGCGGTTTTTCTTTCGTAGCCAATTTGCAACTGCTGTCTTGACTACTTTTACTTCTGGCGTTGAAACAGCTGGGCCGTTGATTGACACATGTAGTAACGAGTTCAGCATGTCATTCTCCAGCCTGTTTCTCAGTCGCGTTTTGATTCTTTTAACCGCACCTGCACCCCTTTCTGGCCAGGCGTTGGTGATTGGTGCAGATAGGGCAACTTCTGCCAGCTCGACAAGGAGTGGATAGAAATATCCATACACAGATTTCATCCTATCAAGTCGCTGTGCACAAAGCCCACTCTAATGGGGTAGGGGCACTCTTTTCGTTGCTTCCTCACGCTGTTGATGGAGGGACAATACTTTTCCAAGCGTCTAGGTCAAACTTGAAGCAGGTTGCCAAGAATTTTATTGTCGTTGTCGGTGATGGTCAACTCTAGGCTACCCAATCGTCCTCCTGGCTTGATGTCTTCTTGTAGACAGAAGGCAGAACATTCCTTTGTTTTCCTCGTAAACTAGCCACCACAATCCAGAGGTTTTATCAAAACTAAGATCCTTGGTAGATACTCAGCTGTGTCTGAACTTGGCTTTCAAACGTTGGAGAGTGTCTGTTGGCGAGATCGTGCAGCAATCACTTGATTTACACAAACAGTGATTGTGCAATTTTGAGTTCTCATCAAATGTGGCAGTAATTTCACCTTTACCTTGCACATCTGCGATGGTAGGTGTAGCTATCACTGTAGTCTGCTCTGTTCCACTGCATGTACTTGACGAGTGATCGTCAACAGGTGAAGAAGTGGCCGAACACGTGCTCTCGTTTATTTGCACAGATTCTGTAGCGAAGCTAATCGAGCTTCTCTCGGCAATGTCACTTGGTTCCTTAGAACTTAGCGTGTTCCTTTCGGCAGACTTAAAAAATTTCATGATACCAACGGCCTCAGAATCATCTTTCTTTTGGAAAAGCAATAATATTTCAACCGTCAGAGATACGCAATTTGGCGTTCACTAATTCGCATACATGAGGTACAAATACCGCTCGCCATTGAGCCTGCAAAATGGACGATGCGATGCGAATGATGCGATCGTCGCACTAAATGGAGTGTCTACAACCCTCTCAGTTCAGGTAAGACAGCAATCAAGGTGTAAACAAACGAAATAAATAAATAACAATCTTCTGACAACATTTAAAAACATTTTGGATAAAGAAGTAGTGCTTCACAGCCGGAAAAATCGCGTCCACAGTCGGGTAATTTTCCCGGTGTTGTAGTTCAGATAAACAACGTAGCAGACATTTTATTCGAACTCCAACATACGAAAGACATGCCTCCTGCGCATGCACCAATACATTTGTGTTGCGTAAGAAACTATGACATGCCCCCTTTTCCATGAGGAAGGAGAAGAACA